TTGACCACTCTGTGCATAATTAGTTATCGAATAAATAAAGCCATTAATCCGACTACTTAATAAGTATATTTATTTTGAAACCATTGATTATTTCTGACTCGATCACAATAAAACATTTGTTTGACAAAAATAGTAATTTAAATAAATATATGTATATATAATAAATCATTTTTTATAAAAACACACGAAAACCTTCGAATTTACTTTGTGATCAACCATAATCAATACAAAATAAATACAAGTAGTAATGACGTAAATATTAAAAATATAACCCTCTAACTATTAATTACATAACTACCCAAAGAGTCGGTCTAAGGATCCCGAAGTATCCGCTGAACAAATCAAAATAATTATTAATTAATAAAAGAGTTTATACTTTTTTCATACTTAAGAGTCAAATGTCATGACGGTGATAGGGAGCAATTGCATACGACGGCTCTCGCAATATATCTCAACCTAACGCGGATCCAGTTCAAGTCTTAATTAATTATAAGTCCATCCATAATTATCGACTAAGAACAATTTATGATTACTATTTATATTCATGTATTGATCGCCATCACATACATATATAAATATCTCTTGTAATCAAGTGGACACTATCAATTCTATAATGAATCAAAACATAATACATTGAATTCACCAATTGTATAAAGCATAAATATTTCAGAAACGTCAGGAACATATATCATTTCAATCCAAACAGGAATTTACTATGCCAGGGCATATAAATCCCAACAGATTCGTGTTTTATGTTTCTACCTTTGTCGGGTACCTGTCCTCAGAATTGGGTGCTTAATCGGCGGTGGCATGGCTATTGTTTAGTTGGTTTGTTGCTTCTTAATCATGTTGAAACTGGATTGTGATGTTTTAGTAGCTTAGGAGTTTTAATTCTCTTGTTCCTGTGCTGCCTATCTGTTTCCTAAAAGTTCTTATTGATGTTTTCTAGTTTTGTGGTTTGTTTGATTGTTTTTAAGTTCAAATTTTCCCATTATATCATGTGAGCCAATTTTTGGAGCAAATGAGTTTTCAGATTATCGTGGTGGTATTTTGGTAAAACAAGTCCCCAACCGTGATGCCATCCAGATGGCATGATGTATTAGTAGTTGGAGTCATGCGGCTGTTTGGGAGCCCTCTGTAATACCCCTAATTTTAAAATGATAGTTCTGGAATTTATTTAAATGTTTAATTGTGTTTTTAGTTTATTTAGTTGGTTATTTGTAGTTGTTGTGTTTGTTTGTTTATTTAAATTGTTATTTAGTTAAATTTTTGTTTTGCTTTAATTGTTTAAATTGATTATTTGTTTTATTTTAAATTGTTTTATTTTAAATTGGTTGTTTATGTTAGTTAGTATTTATTTGAATTAAGTTAAATGTTTTATTTATTAAATTAGGGTTTTATCAGTTTAGGGAAGCCACGTATTTAGCCGACTTATTTTTTTTTTCTGTCTAGTAATATGATTAGGGTTTAATTGCACCTAGGTTTAGTTGGCCTATATATATATCTGTATAAGACTGCCAAGGGTTTAGAACCCTAACCACACGTATTGGAGGCAGGAGTTTGGAGAACGTAGTTCGCCGGAAAACTTAGAAGAAAGACGTTGAGATTTTTGAACCGAATCTCACAGGCAAGTTTTATCACTAACTCTATCTCTTTGGCCTGTGTTCTTTGCATCTCTAATTCAGTTCCAGGAAGAAATAAAGCTAAATTAATTTGGTTGTAATTATTTGTTTCAAACAGTATGGGTCATTGTATGTATTTTCCGTTCGTGATGAAACTGTTTGTGCTTGTTCTTGTTTTAATTGAATTTGATTAACAAGTAATGAACTTAAACAACTTTAGAGCCCTTTGGGACTTAGTTTTAATCCATAGGAAACGTGGGTTGGAGGAACAAAGTTGCCGGAGTTGGAGAAGAAGTTGAACAGATTGTTTTCTTTTAGGTACATGTTAAGCGTTTTTAAATTATTCTGTTTAATTCTTGTTTCCACTGAGTGTGATTATTAATCAAGGAAGTTAATTAACTTTTGAACACCCAAGGACTTAATTTTAATCAGCAAGAAATTTGGTTTGGAGGATCAACACAGCCGGACACCGCCGGGATTGGAAAAACGACGTACAGGGGAAGGAGCCTGCTCTATTTCAAGTAGAACAGGCTCAATTAAAAAGTGGAGTAGGCTTTACTTTGTAGTAGAGCCGGCTCTACTTGGTAGTGGAGGCGGCTCCACTTTGGGTGGAGCCGGCTCCTTCAACAGGTTTCAGTTCTTCTCCTTTTCAGTGATGGTTTTGGCTACGGGTTTCAGAATTTGGTATTTTCATATGCTATTAGGAGCTATGCAGGGATGTTTCGGTAGCATCTAAGTCCTATTAGAAATTCTGAAGGTGTGATGATACATAATAAATTACAAAGAAATCGGTAGATTTAAACCATTATAGTTTCAGGTGAACTTGTGGACTGTTCTTGGAGGCAGAGGATTTTAAGTGCATAACCTTACGAGTTACAATTTATCTGGGAATGGTAATATTGTTAAATCATCTCTCTGTAATTTAAGTTAAGTTTATTAGATTACAAAATGATTATATATATTCATAAGTGACAGTAAGACACTTTTAAGGAAGTTTACATGGTTAAAATTTTGTAGATGATTCAAGTTGATTAATTTTAAATTAGCAACTGAATTAGAAGTTTGATATGTAAATCATATAACAAGGGTATGGGATTAAGCCTATTAACTAATATAAATTCAGTTAATACTTAATAAGGAACTAGTTGATGTTACCAAGAATTTGTTTATGTCAACTTGTGGGATGTTGTGGAGTAATTACAAGTAAGCATGTATATACTATTGTTATTATTATTATGCTTATTGTGAGTTACAGGATGGTTAAATTTCTTCTCTGCACTTAAAAATTTGTCAGAGAACCAGGTACTGGATGTATTGAACAAGCATGCTAATTAAACATTCTTGTTATGCTTATGATTGGATATGTTGATATTGATATGTTATGCTATCATATATATATTATCAATACTGGATGGATGGTTTGTATGCACCGGTATGGGACGGTGTCATACTAGGGGGATTAGCTCAAAAATGCTAAGTCCTACCTACTCTGGATTAAGGGACGGATTAACTACAAAAGTTAAGTCCTACCTATATTTTGTGTCAGATCAATAAATAATTGAGTGACACTTTGGTTTGGAATGGAATTTAAATATATTTTTATAATGCCACGATATGAGCTTGAGTCTCAGAGTCGTTGGTTAGGGAGCGTTTATGCATTGGGATGCATAGCTGGCTATGATGGTTTGATGTGTACCCTGCTAGGACTAGGTAGTCATGCCCACCTTTGGGTGCGTTTTAGCATGGTGCCTACTAGTCAGGTTGAGACGGGCCTGTAGTCCAGTGAGAGTCCTGTAATGTGATTATATATATATATATATATATATATATATATATTTACGGACTATTAGCTATTGTTGGATTGGTTAGGATGTACATGCGTATCGGGTCTCTGCTTGGGTAGTAGTAATATAGAACTTGCATGTGGGCCTGACCCACTCATCATTTTTCAGGTATCGGACATTTCCAGTCTAGAGCTTGTTCGTACTGAGCAGAGACGATCTTCCATTCTACCGACGACGTAGGACTTCTTTCTAAATATTAGATTTGGATTTTATTTCCAATTTTTACTTTCATTCAGTTTGGGATTTTTTTTTTATTAGGGGTCCACTAGAGATGGATTCCTGAGTTGTTAAACTGATGGAGTTTTGGATTATCAGATTCTAAGTATTTAATTATAAAGGATTTTACTTTTAGTTTCTACCAGCTTAAACTTTATTTATTCAATTTATTTTGTCATCTGTGTTCGATTAAATATTAATTGTAGAATGTCACTTTGACATTGCAGATCATGCCCCTAAAACATAATGGTTTTCGCCCAAGTATTTGGCAGAGCCCCTTCATTCTCCTTTTGTTGGCATAAGTCAGGAATTATGAGAACTACCAAAATAAATTGGCCTAAAAAACCATCAACCATTGCTGATTATGGTTTTCCAGTAAAATATGGATTGCCTGGTTGGGTTTCTCCCGTGTTTGGGAGCCACTCGTGTTCTCGAGCCTTGCACTCTCTCCCTCTCTCTCCTCCTACTAACATTCTTGCCGTAAATATAAGAGAGAAGAAAAATAAATATATAAAAACTACCTTTGAGATGTGTCCTAATTTGGGATTCACTTTTTTGAGTTTGGACAGTAATTTTAGTTTAAGTTTCAAAAAATAGGTCGATGTTTGGTTTCACACATCCATTTAATTACGAAAACTTCTAAAAGTGACTTGGAGATACAGTGGCTGCAGTCAAGAGGTAAGCAATAGTGGGGGTGAGAAGGGTAGGCGTGGGTGACAAGAGTGGTGTAGGGGAGTTCGTAGGGGCATTTTAGATATATTCTTACTAAAATAAACGCATTATAAAATATCAACGGACAACGTTTAATTTGAAATTATATCCCTTCTGATTGGAGTTTGCACACTTATTGGTAATGTTTCAATTATCAATGGACAACATTTAATTTGATGGTATAACCGCTCTATATTCTCAAAAGGTGAAAGGAAATGTTCGAGTCTGGATATGAAAAAAAATGTTAGTGGTTTCTTGCAACCAAATAAAAATAAAAAATAAATATTCTAACTAGTTGTAATAAAATGAGTATGTTGTCGAGGGACCTTTGACGCAATGGTATTATCCCGAAATAAAGTATAAACACACATTTAATGGGGAGGGGTTCGAGTCTGGTTTTTTTTTTTTTTTTTGCTCTTTTCTGGAAGAGGGTACAATGGGAAGTTTCTCACTAGACTAGAAAGGATTTTTATGTAACGTTCGACTGATTCAATTAATAGGATGTGGGTTATCTAGAAAACATGTTTGATGGGCTCCACGTCTTGCGCTCTTCACGACCTTTCTTCCTTCTCAAGTGTTCTTCCCATTGTTCTTTTGACTTTTTTCTCCCTCTTCTAGCGAATTTCCTGTCCCAATTTTTATTTCCCACCTTCCCCTCTAGAAAGCCATCTCTCTCTCACTACACAACGGTCTTTCCACAACAACTCTCTCTCCCTATCTATACATATACTATATATATATATATATATATATACACTTCCACTAGACAATATATCTCCACAAGTCATTCTCATCAATCCCTAATTAGCTCTCCTCAATTTCTCTCACTACTCTTCATTTCAGCAAACAATGGGAGACAAAGATCACACCAGTTTTGCAGATTCCGAAGAAGCAGAGGACACCCTCTCTCTCTGCGACCTCCCTATGAACGATTTCGAAAACAATCCTTCCAATCACCACCACAGTCCGAAAACCTCCATAGATCAAGACCTGTTCGAGTTCTTCACCGGTCTCAACTCCGCAATCGGCCCAATCGACAACAACATCGTCTTCTGCGGAAGCATCATCCCCTACGACGACGAGAAGGAGCTCAACGAGTACCAGAAGCGCGACTACTTCAGCGTCGTCAAATCATCGCCGTTTCACAAGAAGTCTCGTAGCTCTCGGTTGAGCGGCGGCTCGAATCGCTTCTCCGGCGAGGATCGGTCCAGCTCGCTGCGGTTTGTGAATTCGGACTCGCATCCGTGCAGGAGTTTCGCCAGGTGCGAACACTCGCCGGTGAATATCACGGCGATCACGTCCATGTCGGCGAAGTCGAGGAGGCGGATGTTCATGTTTGGGCCGGTGAAGTTTAAGCCGGAGATGGAGTTGAGCGCGATTAAGAAGAGGCAGAGCCGCCACGCTCCGGCGGCGATGTTTCCGGCGGCGGTGGACGGCGGTGCGGTGGCAGTGGCGAGTGCTGGAAGTAGAGGGAAGAGTCAGTGGGGGTTGGTAAGGGCGTTGAGGTGCAGTACCGTGTTGGCCAGGTCGTTCGGTTGCATGTCAGTGCATAAAACGACGGCGTAGCGTTGCAAATGGAGTAACTTTGACTGGTTATTTGGTCATGTACAGTGTGTAATTGTTTTTAGTTTCTAGACATTATTGTATTTAAATTCATTTATTTTGCCGCAAAAAAGTACGGAGTAGTTGTAATATTTATTTATTGTTATAAAGTTTTGATACACATCATTGATTTTTTGCATCCCTAGTGCAACATTTTGAAGTTTGAATTATTCAACTTATGAAAATGGAATAAAATTACTCTGTCAACAAAATAAATCATCTCAATAAAATTACTCTCTCAATTGTCCTCCACACATTGTTTTCATCATCACAAATTGTATTCAAGTATAGACAAAATACATCTTCAATTTGGCATTCAATCTTGAGTCTTAAAAATCAAACAATAGGTTATAAAAACTTGTTTTGACATGAAAAAAATTTAGCCAATATATAATATTATATCTCACAACATTTACTTCATTTGTTTTTCCTTATTTTTTTTCAAAAAAATAAATAGCATCCTTTGAAAGTAAGGTTGCAGTCAATTTAAATAGAACTTTGGTTTGTTTGAACCTTGAGTCCAAATATAACCCTTTGAGCTCAACATTGGCTCGTTCATCATTTTGAGCTCAACATTGGCTCGATACCAATATTAATATGACATAATATATGTTTAAAATTAAAATAAAATGTAGCGAAATAAATTATATTCATTAATGAATACATTCACGGATAGGGATGGCAACGGGGCGGGTTTGGAGCTGGTTTCCCTAAATCCCGCCCCGCCACTTTTAATTTTTATCAAGTCCATACTTGCCCCGAGACTCGTGACGGGTTAGATTTTCATGTCCAGCCCCGGGCCATTGGGAAATACTGTGGCCCGGTGCTCGCCCCGTTAACAAATTTTTTTCTCCTACTTTTTTGAACTTAAGCTCCTGCTATTTAAATGTGGAAAGCCTGGAAATGGCACAACATAAATGAAATTATATATCCCAACAAAAATATATAAAATAATATGCACATAACATAATTCAGAGAACATAATAAACAAAAATAAAAATTCAATACAACCAAATCACAAGAAGTTCTAAACTCCAACTTCCATCACAATCAAAACAAAAGTAAATTTAATACCAAATTTACATCCTAAATTATGATTGTAAGAGATGGGTAGCCGGGTAAGTCGCAAAAATAAGTTATTAATATTATATATATATATATATATATATGTATATAATATAGTTATATGCTTAGCAGGGTGGGCTGGGGCGGGGCCCCTAAGATATGTATACTGAACCCTTACCCGCGCCGTGATCCGCGACGGGTACAAAATTTGTATTTATGCCCGCCCCAACAGTATAAAAAGTGTTCCCATATCCATTATTAACAAGGTGGGCCGGTAAAAATTGACATCCCTATTCACAAATAGTTATTTATATGACAACGTTAACATGTTTAGACATAATTTATTAAGATTTTACTATTAAAAATCTATCGACTCGAGTCTGAAAGGTTTAGTTTTACAACGAAGTTGTCTGAAACTATACTCATATTAATCATATTTGATCTAAGATCCAATTTTTAGATTACAAATTTGAATTTGAATTTGAATTTATAACAGTTTGGAGTGCATCTTATTTCATATTGAATTTGGTTTAAATTTAATTACAAGAATGTATAAAAAATAAAGATTTTTAGATTCATTTGAATCATTTCATAACAACATGTCTTACTAGATTGAGATTTACAGATTAGATGAGTGGGATGAATTTAATATAATTTGCATGATAACATGTAACTTAAAATTATTATATAAATTTATATAATTCGAATTTACGTTTCATGTTCAATAATTTTTTTTTCCCTTTTTTATTTCAATTACGAGTAGAGCTATTAATTATTATTATATTTTAAAAACAAACGGTTAGTTATTGTAATTTAAAAGGAAAATAAATCCCTAGACCTATACTTATTACGGCATCTTCTCGTGGACTCGCGTTTTATACCGGTGACACTCGCCCTTGCACTCCTCTCTCTGATACTGGTACGATCTCTCTCTCTCTCTCTCTCTCTCTCTCTCTCTCTCTCTCCATTCATGTATATATAATATGATTTGGGTGATTTTATAGAAATCGAGAACCTTTTTTTGGGGTAATCATACCTGGAAATTTGCTGTGCTATACTGTGATTGAATTTCTGCACAATCTCGTGGGTTTTTATTAGGGTTCTTCTTTCTTGAAAGATGATGATTCAGCGTGCATCTCTTTGATTTGTTCAATTAACAAGAAAGCGCATACCCACTCAAGAATCGTAGAAGTTTACTTCGATTCGTTTTAAAAACCGTTGGTAATTTCTTATATGCCTTTCGTGATAATTTGCCAAGATTTTTTTGTCATTACTTTATTTTTTCAAATACTTGTTTTTAGTTTAGAATGTTGTTTATGGGGGCGACACTCTTAGTGATTGCCAGGTGGTTTAATATATAATTGAGGGGTTGTGAGGACACTTTCCACCTGTTTTGGGAAATTTTGAAAAAACATCAAAGAACAAAGAATTTATGGAATTTAAGATATTTTTCAAGTCTTGAAATGAACAAGATCAAAGAAAGTATTAAGAAAAGACTTCTTGCGTGCACATTTAAGTATTATCTTTTCGGTTGTTTTATATGTTTTATGAAAAGAAGAAGCTCTGAATGGTTGTTGGAAAGAATGATGATGAAGGGAAGTGAAAGGTGGCTTATTTTCTTGTTCACTTATTACTTCTCTCTTCTACTTCTTCTTCTTCTTCTTCTTCTTCTTCTTTTTTTTTTTTTTCATGAAAAGAAGAAGCTTTTTTTTTTTTCATTCAATTAGTTGAAAGATAATGGTGGAATTATATCCATTTTTTCTGGAAAAAATTGAGGTACATGTACGGTACAGGGCAAACCAATAATTAATTGTTGTCTTTGTGTTGAGATGTGTCGTGCACATACTTTATGTAGTATTGATATTCCCACATAATATTTTTGCCCTAGAAGAAATCTGGCAATAACTGATAGGCAAAATGCCAAATTGATCATTGTTTTGAAAGGCTAGCAAGAATTAGTGTTAGTTTTTAAGGGCTCAAGTTGAGTATGATTCCTAATTAGCTCTTATTTATGAAACTAATTGCAAACATGTGCTTTTGTACAGCTGCAGTGGCTTATGTCACTCATGCAATGTTTTATTTTTTTGTGTCACAGATACCAAGGGGTTAAAGAAACCAGTCATAATGTGGGACCTAATTTTTGGCTAAAATTTTATTTTAAGAAAGTAATCACGATTTCATGAATGCTTCAATATTGGGGTTCTTGGATGCTTAAGCTACTTGGACTGGACATTAAGCTTTTTGGCTCTTTATTTTATTTTTATTCCCCCATAAGTTTTAACAATGCTATTATTGTCATTTGATTGGAATCTCTATAACAACCTGGCTAAATGGCATAATATTTGGTGATGAGCTCCATCATTTCTACAATCCACTGATTGTGTGATTTAAGAGAATCAAAGCTGTCTGGGTGGTCAGTTCCATAATATTTATCTTTCTCTGTTGCATGGTGCTGCTATTGTTCATTCAGCAGTAATCTTCATTAATAATGATTTCACTGTTACTCTTCTTTTAATTTCAGATGGAAACAGTGAACACATCAATTCCAGATCTCAGAAATGTTGGATCAGAAAAGGCTGAAGACAAGGTTGCTGAGGTGGAGGGTCTCAAGCATCATGTTGATGAAATGTTCACAAAGGTTAACAAGGTGAGCTTAATTGCTAAATTGAAAATCTAACACTGGGTTTTGTGTTTTAGAAGTCCTTTGACATCCGTTTGGCTTTATACTTCGTACTTTTTGTTTCTTGGTTCTTCTATTGTTAATCATGTAAACCATAAGATTGCATAAACCATTGAATTGATTTCATATCATATTAAGTAATAAATTATATAAAATTTCGATTTTGGGTCATTGTTTGGACACAGTTCATAAGAATTTGTGAATTATATATATATATATATATATATATATATATATATAATGGTATTGAGCCAGTCTGCTATTATTTGTCCCACCATCCCATGGCCTATGAATGTCTTTGCTTTCTGCTGTTGTGACCTTTAATCACCCCACTTCTTATAACTAGATAAAGCCTTACTGCCACCTTTTGCAACTTGTCAATACATCAAAATTTCATCATTTTACCCCTCACCACCTGTTCTGTTGTTGCCACAAGCATCATCACCACGACCACCTTTGACACGCTAAAGATGGCACTTCTGCTTTTAACAATGCTCATGATTGCTTTCTCCACCTTCAACAACCTATCACTGTCACTACCACCATCACATTACAATTTCACCCATCCTGTTACTTGTAATGCTCTCACTCATCCATCCTATTGCCACTTCGACTGCCACCCCCTCTATACTATCACTAATGGCCATCACACCAACAACACCGGCTTAGTGACTGCCAAATATCACCAGGGGCGGAGCCAGTATATGCCCGGGGAGGGCACGTGGCCCCCTGGCCCCCTGGCCTTGCCCCACTTACTATAATATATATACTAAATTTATATATTTTTATATGTATATATGAAAAAATTCATATAATGCCCCCCCTAAAATTTTTATTTTCTAAAATTATCTCTTAAATTTTGTATTTCTTCTCTTTTTTACTTTTTAAATTCATTTAATTTCCTTTAAAAAAAAGTCAAATTTTCCTTTTTGAATCAAATTCCAATTTTTTTTCCTTTCAAAATTCTCTCATTTTTCTTTCCTTTTTAAATTTTTTGGTAACTATTTATCTTTCTTAAATCACTCATTGATTGACATATTATTTTGAGTAATTTTTTTTCTGTCTCTTGATCCCCGCCCCCCACCCCCCCCCCCCCCCCCGGGCCGGGAATTTAATTTCTAGTTCCGCCCTTGAATATCACCAAAATCACCATGTAGTGGCCACACAAACCAACTTTGGCAACTTTTACTTTCAGTATCCACCTACCACCACAATTTAGCCTATATCCTTCCATCACCTTTCCTGATATCCAGGAAATTTAGTTATATTGAGTTTGTTTGTGATTGCTTCTTTACTAGTAAAAAGTGCTTTCATTTTAAAAAACTGCGGTGAGATGCGTTTGGTGACAAAAATAAGTGCGGTTAGATAGTAGAGATTTCATAAAAAAAGCACGTTCACTTGAAACTACAAATCGTAGCTTTTAAAATTGTGTTTGAAGTAGACGTAGATTTTTTACGATAATTATATTGTTTTAGACAATTTAATCCCTCTTTACTTTTTATAAATACAATTTTGTCCCTAGTGTTAAAAGAATATACAAATATTATGCAAACCAATTTGTGTTGTCTGAAAACTGGAACTTGCTGGTATTATTGTTATGGTACCCTTCCCTTTAAGAAACCCATATATTAGAAACTCAGTATCATTCCTTTTAAGAACTATATATTAGAAATTCAAGTTATATTAGAAGTTTAGTTTAGTAGGAGTTCAGTTCCATAATCATCCAATTTTTTTTATTTATCAGTTTCGACAAAATCTATATTTATATTATTTCTTATCCATACATCAGCATGTATTTTTAGATTAACTTCTTAAATCGGGTAAGTATTACTTTTGATTAGAGTTGCATAATTGCATTGGAAAATTTTTAGATTTCACTCTTAGGTTAACTTTATTTAAAACTAAACTCACATAAAGCTACAATTAGTATATTCATGAAAAAAATAAAGTTATAATTAGTAAAACTAAACTTCGATTTTGAATCTTATACAATTTGAATTTCATAAATATGAGTGTTGATATTCTATTTTTTTCCTTTGGTAAGCAAGAATTCATATTATATAGAACCAAAACAAAATATACAGAGGATAGTGATACTATTAGTAAATTCGGTAGTAAAAGTGCTTTAAGTAACATTCTTACCAAACAAATTAAAAAATGCTTTAAATATAAAAAGCGCTTTATAAAATACATCACTAAACGCATAACATGCTTTTTTACTGACAGCAATTTTATAACAGCTCTACTGCTAAAAGCGCTTTTATGATTTTAACAGCAATCCCAAACGGACACTTGAGTCCTAAGAACCCTTAGGGTTGTGGAAGTTCTTTGTGGTAACTCTGAACTTTATTCATCTCTTAGAGAGTCCGTCATTTTACACCAATGGTCTATTTATAGGTAGTGTAAAACCGTAAAAACAATCACATACCTCTTGGAAGTCTTCCTATCCACTATAGTAATATATTAGGCAACAAACTTCCTTCCTGAAACCCAAAAAACTCCCACAAACTGAAAATACAGTAATAACAAAGACTAGTTCTGAAGTATCAAAAACGTTCTTAAATATCACAAGATTAGTAATTGTTTAATAAAATTACTAACAAAACCAATAGCCATATCATCTTCGCAGTTCTTGTGGGTCTCACAGCTTGATCATTTGATCGTATGATTACATGCTCCTTATACCAAAGGCATCATCAATTGCCTTTTGTTGGAAAATTTGTGCTTGAGTTTTAGAACATTGGAGGATTGGTAACATTTTCAAAGCATCAAGATGATCTTCACAAGTTTTCAAACTTGAGGTAATCTCCATCGATCGTGAGGTGAATGGATGAGCGTAAAAAAACTTTTACTTGATGGGCAGATCTTTTTTTTTTTTTTTTTTTTTGCTATATCTTATGCCCAAAATTGCTTGTAGGTTTCCATAATAATTTCTATGATGGTGTATCGTAATTCCATGAACGATTGATATTACTAAATAATAAAAAGGAACTGGAGAGAGGTAAAGAAAAGAAAAGAAAAGAAGAATTTCATAAGATTGAGAAGAATAGAGATATGGATAGGTAAATAGAGAAGAAGAGGAGGGAAGACTGAGAGGAGACAGGAGAACGAAAAAGAGAAAGAGAAGATAAGAGGATTGGTAGGTTTATTGAGATATTCAAGTAAGGAGATAATAGAGTTAGAATTGGAGAATAAAAAGGGGTGGGAATAGCAAAAACTCTATCAATAAATTTCGAATTTTCTTCATCTTTGGAGGCTGCGTTTGTGGGCCATCTTCAGAGGGACTTCTTAGAAGTCCTACCCACTATTGTAATAAATGCACTCAAGTTCCTTTCAAAACCCTAAAACTCCCTAAAATTGAAAAATAAAGCAATAATGGAAGACTAGTCCCAGAATTACCAGAAACTTCAATAATATTAGGATTTTTGCAATTTCAAGATTAGTTATAATATTACTAATACCATTAAGCGCAAGAGCCATATCATCTTCTTGGGTGACAATCGTATGATCACATGCTCTTGAAACCAAGGTGCATAAGATTTGGAACGTAATTTGAGCCCACAAAGGGATGACAAAATCTTCTGGTTTGATATAATTTCTTTGGGCAAAGAGATGAAAATTTAAAAATCCTTTATAGGACTTGGAGGGTGGGGGCCCCCAAATACATGGATGAAGATACATAAAAATAGATGTAATTTTGGAAACCTCAAACTAAAGTAAGTGAGACCTGTATCAGAAGCACTGATCTCTCTCTGTCTTAGTAAGTCTGCTTGTAAGGAATCCTTCCATCACTTCATATGCATTTTTTTCTTTGTATTCTTTAAATCCATATGCATTGTTTTGAGTGTTTCATGTGACTTACGGATCTTTTCTTTTAGCTCTTTTAATTTCCTATTACCCAAATCTAGAATTGAATTATATTTTAATGTTTAAGCATGAATGGAATAATGACATTGTTTTAAAGGAGCATGAATGAGAGAATTACATTAAAACCTTATATCTAGATATTGATACGAAATGAGAATCTTATTATCTACTGAGTTATGTTGGATTTTGTAGTTTTATGATCTTTTTTCAAACAAAAGCTTTTGTGAATCAGGGGATCTAAAAACCCTTCATTTCATATATCTTAAGCACACTCAATTTCTTCATCCAAATGTGCTCTTAGGTTTCCATGTCACCAATTTTACTTATAAAAAAAAAAAGTTTCCATGTCACCAATTTTAATAAATAGTATCATTTGAGTTGCAAATGCAAAAGCCTGTTTGTTTGTTTTAAAAAAAGAGGCTAGTTTCCAAATCCAACCGACAGCTTAATAGACGTTGCATAATCTCAATTAATTTTTTATTTTCGTCTCCAATGTTGACATTTGGTATATTAGTTTGTTTCAATCAAGACCATAGGTGCCATTTATTACCGTGCTGTTTCTTGGTTAAGTTTGGCAGAAATTACTAACTTTTTGCCTATCTTTTGAGTTTTGACTTCCCAAATTTTTAAGTTTTATATTTTTACTTGCAGCTTGAAGAAAGAGTGAATAATGTTGAACACTTCTATTTGACCACAAATAAAAAGCATCCAAACACTTCTAAACGCAGCTCAATCGTGAAGGATAAAGATAAGGAGAAACATATTCCTAGCATTAGGAAGCAGCAGCAAGACGCATCACATAGAGAAGCAGCTGCTGCAAAGAGAATGCAAGAGCTTATGCGCCAATTTGGCTCAATATTGCGTCAGGCAATCACTGATTCTTTGCTTCTGCATTTATTTACTGTTATAAGTTAAGCTGCAGCATTAAACTGATTATAGATCTGGATTTATAATTTGAAAGTGTGTAGCTTAGACATAGATTTAGCACTTTTATATTTTGATTTCAACAGATATATGAGCTTTTAAGTGGGTGGATTTGAAAGTATAAGGTGGGGAGAATTACTTGAAATCCTTCCCAAGAAGGATCCTAATCACTATGTATCTTCCGTACCTCAACGATGCTATCTTCCCCTCATGCTTTGCAATCCAACTTTAGTAACCCATTCTTATTCATTACGTAAATTTGAAACCATATTCCTTTACGTCAGATCCATCCAACCGAAAGCAACATTAGTGTTTCCTGTTTTTGATTCATTTTGTGTATTTGGATTTTTTTTTTTTCAATGCTTTAGGTAAACTGACACTGTTTTAATTTACTCTCGAATAATGTATGCTGTTATAATAAATGGATGGTCGAGTGGAATTGCTACATCTCTTTTATTGTAAAGTAGCTAGTATACCTTTCAGTGTAACTAAGATATTCCATGTTGGTATTATTTGAACTTAATTAATACCTTCTCATGTTATCGTCTTCAGGCATTTTTGTTTTTTTCAATCTTAAGTTCTAACTTGCTTATAATATTATGTGATGATTGGATATTAGATGATAAACTTCAAATTGCCACGCCTCTGACTTCAAAGACTGAATAGTGTGACGTGTACAAATAGAACACTCATTTGATAAGACATCGGACACGGTGTTTGTAAAGATTATATATTCATGAACTCTGTATTTGTGATTCATTTGTTAACAATGTTTCTTTTAAGGACGTGTCTGCAAATGTATACTTTTTCATTATATCTGTCTATAAATATTACATCTATATATTTTTTGTGCAGCTGTTGGAGTTCTCACAAAATCCTAATCTTCATTATGAAAGAGGAAGTAGAAAAAAAAACTAATCATTTTACTTAAATGATGCTGATTAAAAACCATGTAAGCACTGTTAGGATCTTATATTCTTATGTAACCCTTAAGAAGATCAAGAAATAGCAAACATAAAGAATAGAGAAATATAACTAGTTGGTTTAATTCAAGGTGGGGCCTTCGTGGGACCTTGCATAGTCAAAATTTAACTACAATTGAGTCATACTTTTTTCTTATGTTGGTGTCCTACTATTATTATTATTTTTTCCCTCAGCATTGATATTTATGTTGGTGAACCATTGGTATTATGGCTGAGAGCATAATGTGATTCCACTTAGTGGTTTATTTTATTTGTGATGCTCTATCTGGTCAATGGTGTTATAGAAAAATCATACTCTTTGGGACTAGGCTATAGTAGAGGTTTATCTCTTTTCTTACTAGTTTTGCTACTTAAATTGGGCCTTTATGTTCCATATTATATGGGTTTTAGTTGGTTATAATAGTCAAAATTTCAGAATTTTTAAATTTACAATTCATTTCAAGTGGATTTAGGAGATGGTCGCTAGCTTGTAAATATCAATGTTTTCTTTCAACCATACAGTCTAATACGCAATCTATTACCAACTATTTTGTACTTTTGCTTAAATATGGAAGAGAAGAAAAACCATCATTAATTCTTTTCCCGTATAATTAATGATAGATATAGTTATATTATAAAAAATAAATAAGAAAAAAGTTTAGTTAAAGAATGGTTGAAGGGGTTAATAACTTAATAGTGCTTATATGTCCTTGTATAGTTCTATTTTGGTAATAATGCAATATCTATTGAATTTAACTGCTGTAGCATTTTTTATGGGTTTCTTGAAACCTCATGACAGCTGCATATGAAGCACCTGTTTTAGTGCTAAAGAACATACAAGTTTAGTTTCCATTCTATGCTAGAAAATTTGACTTTATTGCCCGTGTTCAGACGGTTTGTCAAAGATAAAAGGTTAACTACTAGTTGTAGAGTTAAATCATTTATCCTCATCATTTCAGATGGTTGGTGGTCCCGAGTTGTGTGGTCCAAAGATGCAGCCTTTTCAGAAAATAAGCACTTTGTTATCAGACAATAATACTGAATTTGGAGAAGCGACCAACCTATTTCATAGCTTGACCACCTCTCTGATTATTTTAATAATGTATTTGGTCTTCTTTTAGATAATGAACTTGTGCTGTGAATCTTGTCATTTACTCATTTGGTTGCTTTAAGGTTGAGACACGATATGATTCAATTCTCATTTCTTAGTTGCACGACGATTTGTTTATATTTTCCTTTTACTGGCCAGATCACTCAGCACAAGTGGGCATGGCCCTTTATGCAACTCATTTGGTTGCTTTAAGGTTGAGACACGATATGACTCAATTCTCATTTCTTAGTTGCACGACGATTTGTTTATATTTTCCTTTTACTGGCCAGATCACTCAGCACAAGTGGGCATGGCCCTTTATGCATCCTGTAGATGTTGAAGGTCTTGGGTTGCATGATTACTATGAGGTAAAACTTCTTTCTTCTTTCTTGGCATTCTGATCATGTATCCGTATGTCACCTGTGCACATGTTTTTTCTCTCCTTATGTGTTATACATTTTACTGTATAATTTAAAAAGTAAATGTTATCGAAAGGAAAATGGTGTAATAATTATATTATCTGTTGTACATTTGTTAGTTATTTTTAGATAAAGAAGTTGGAAAATGTGTGCGCTAATATTTCAGAATTTAGATTTGTGGATTTCCTACCTATTCACCTGCGGTAACCTTTTGTTTTCCTGTTCTTTATATAGGTTTTTTTGTCTTCATTTTTTCAGTGTATGATTCCATTGATTTGTTGTAGGATGGTGTGGATTAGGTTATTGACAGGCCCATGGACTTCAGTACAATAAAAAATCAAATGGAGACCAAGGATGGTACTGGATATAAGAACGTACAGGAGATATGTGCTGATGTTAGGTTGGTTTTCACAAATGCAATGAAATATAATGATGAAAGGAGTGATGTTCATGTGATGGCCAAAACGTTGTTGGAAAAATTTGAGGAGAAGTGGCAGCTGCAGCTTTTGCCAAAAGTTATTGAAGAGGTAATTGTTATCCCGAGGACAAAATTAATTAAGTTCATCAATAAAAGGGCTAATAAACGGTAAGTCTTTTGACTTTTCTGCATGTTCAGTAGTGTGGATTCTTTGGCCGAGGAGAGTAGTCAAGGATCTGCTTGGTTCTATTTTCTGAGAAATGTTTTAATTGTTTCAGAGAACTGAAAATAGTAGTTTTGAAAATCTGTGTGGTTGACAACAATCTAAAATCTATTCTCTATAAACTGAGTTAAAAAGGGCTTGAATTCAGATAATGTCTTTTGTAGATCGTGGAAACTGTTTTTATGTTTTTAGAGAACTGTTTCCAAAGAACAGAAAAAGAAAAAGAAAAAGAAACTGAATAGGCCCTAACTCATCCACTTGTCGATTTGAGGACCGTTTATTAACATTCAAACCTATGCGCAGGAAAGAAGGCGAGAAAAGGAGGAAACAGAGGCACAGCTAAATATGCAGCTTGCTCAGGAGGCTTCTTATTCCAAAATGGCGAAGGATCTAAATAATGAGGTATATCAAAATTGCAGGGACATTTCAGAAGCCAAATTTAAATCAATAAGGAACTCTTTAGAAACTTTCCTTTATAGATATATATATATATATATTTTTTTTTCATTTTTGAGCATCGTGTGATTCTTCCCATTGCAATACTCTAGTCCCGTCAAAATTATTATTATTTTATACTAAAAGTATAATAATATTGGACACATTCTGAAAGAACTTTTTGAATGATTTTCAGCTCTATGAGGTTGATATGCATTTGGAAGAAATCAGAGAAGTGCTGGTAAAAAAATGCAGGTTTGTCCTTGCAACTTTTAGTTGTATTGTTGTAGGCATATTGATTTACCACATATCTATGTCTTATTAATGTGAATACCTTCTCTCTGTGATCCTTGAGTTTGACAGGATGAGAAACTGTGAGTTTTTTCTTGCTATAATAATGCCTGGGCCCTGGGGTATAGAAAGCTTTTCCCCATGTTTCATCCAATAGGGTCTTAGTCGGTTAAGGTTATGTAATGTAGGTGCCAGGAGGTCGACGAGAATATCTTGTATTGAATTTTTGAAATAAAATAACAATATACATGTTTAGCATATGAATTAACATGTTTGGTATTGTTGTACTTGGTGTCTAAATATTTGTTTATGCAATTGCAGAAGTGAGTTCAGAGGTACAGTCATTACCTATACTCATGTATGAATAAATAATGTCAAAGTGGGTTCAAGTCCCATGGGGGCAGGGTAGGCTTTTGGGTTTTAACTAGGAAATTAAATATATAGGCATTATCTTTTGAGTGCAACTTTCCAGTGCATTAGATTAAATTCACTCCTATGCTCATTTGCAGAACTTCAATCACACATTTAGAAGGTATGAAAAACATATCTAAGGATTTTCTTTCTTTTTTTTTTTTTATTTTTGTTTAAAGATTACCAATTGGATTCGAGGTTATGCTATTTTTTGGGGCATTTCTTGTTTTTTGACTTATTATATTATGAAAAATGGATGAATATACTCAGATTTAATAAAATGGGGTTAGAACATGTATATTTATTGTACCAACAGGCTAGTGACTTAGCGGTATCAGCTTCTTACCTCCCAAAGGGAGGTCAGGGATTTAAGTCTCAGAAGAGACGTGTGTGTGAGTACCAACTAGGAAAAAAAAAAACATGTATATTTATTGTATATTGAGTGGTTTTCTAGTGAGTTTTATTTATTTATTTTTAATATAATTATATGTATATATATATACACACTATTATTTTCACCTATTTCCTTCTATGCCTTCAATGATGCTCTCGATACTGCTCATGATTTCTTTCGGGTTCCATTTATGGGATGACCCGGGACCAAATCTGTCCTGATGGTTCCAAAAATATTCGACCCAATCGAACCAAACTATAGATGATTGGTTTGGTTCAGTTTGGTTTTACGATTTTGAACTTTCTTATATATATATATATATATATATATTGATCCTATGTATTGTGGTGTATGATAAATTATATTTTCTACCAATCAAAATTGAACTAGTGTATTATATAATCATTTTACTAACAGTTTGCTCCTTTTGGACCCCAAACCAGAACCAAACTGTTCCATTGTAGAACCGAACCGAACTAAACGGTCCAGTTTGGTCTGGTCTGGTTTGGTCTGGTTTATCAGTTCTAATGGTTTTTTGTGCACCACACCATCTTCTGGTCGTTATGTAATCAGATACCTCAATTTATTGTTATTATTTTATATTTTATTTTATTTATTTTTTACTTTTAAGTTGTACATTGCTATCTGGTAGGGTTTACGCAGACGGCGTACCTCCACTTGTGAATAAATCGACTTCCAGTAGCAAGGGAAGAGGATCACTGAAAAAAACAGAGCAATTTAAAACTATTTTATTAACAGAGTCTGCATTTACATTTGCATTTGTAAAATGATACGCCGACCAAATCATTAAGAGGAATACATTTTGAGAATGACACAGCGGTGAAGTATTATGGCTTTATATATGTCTAAAAACACACACACACACACACACACAGAGTATACCAAATGCAATTTGATTTTACCACTACAGATCAGCACCATATTTAAGGGCAAAAAATAGGTTATCATGTATCATTTCAGCATTTCCCTTACCATTCACTCCTGGAGTCCTTGTGTTTTGTGTTGTTTTGCACATTTATAATGGATCTCCAGTTTTTGGTAGAAGTAATAGTCACAACAGCTTTAATAATAGTAGCAATGATGAAATTTATATTAATGTCGAGGATGATGTCAACACTGGAGTAGGTCATTCTTTCTCATTGTTTTCGCCTATTTTGTGTGCTTGTACATTTCTACAAAAGATTCTATGTGTATCATATACTTCTATATTCAATTTAAACAATATACAAATTGAACCCTGCACTTTTGGATGCCATTTCGATGCTTACACCATTGCGTTTCTACAGTTTTGACAAACAGATTTCACTATTGAAAGATATATGAGCCATAATAATTATAGTTGTTAAGAGAGTGATAATTGTTATGTATAACATAATATATCATAATAAGAGTTTGAAAAGTTGATTGAACATGGTTTATGTAGAGCTTAATACAATCGGTTCCTGCTATGTTAACAACCAAGACAGGAAAATTGGTGTTGGTGGTGTGTGTGGGTGGGGGTGGGGGGGACTGAACAAGAGAAATAATTTTGCAATGAAATGTAGTTATGTATGCATGTGGAATAATGATCAGCAGAGCTAAGTTCATTGTTTTAACTTTTCACTATGCCTAAATGTCTCTATACACCACCTTTGAAATATATGTACATCTTGTGTAGTGGTGCTCATACCACAGGTCCTCCACTATTCTTCTATTAATAATGCATGTAGATTATTTATTTATTTATTTTTACCTTGTCAAGAAGCACACTCAACCTTCTGCTTTGGAAGGTGAGGAGAAGTACCACTATGCTACACCATGTAGAAATATGACATGTATAAAAGAGAAAGGGAGGAGGTAGTCAAAATTAATTTTGTTAGTGAAATTTTAGGGATATTCTGAGTATTTAATAATATGGGATGCTATTGGGTCCCAAATTTCATAGTTTAGCAATTTCTTTTGCTTGTTCACAGCAATTCGTGCTGACTGAATCTTTGTTGTACAACTTGTTTGTTGGCATGATGATCAATGAGCATGCAATTTTGATCGGTTCGTTCTGCATCTGCATAACTACAAATGCTAACTGTCAAATCATTATTTCAGAAAAATGTCAGCTAAAGACAAAAGAGAACTTGGGACAGCTCTCAGCCGATTGTCTCCTGAAGATCTTAGTAAGGCACTGGAGATTGTAGCTCAGAATAATCCAAGCTTCCAAGCAACAGCTGAAGATGTCGACCTTGACATGGATGCTCAGGTCATATGCCTAACTTTCACCATACCCTTTGTCCAACAATATAATACTCAACTTTGTCCTACAATATAAGTGTTCCTTTTTCCTTTTTGTGATGCCCATTTGAAGAGTGAATGTACACAAATTCAAATTTTAGGTTTTAAAAATTTTCCAAATTCATAATATAAATCTTTGAATTGTGAAGGATTTTGAGATTTTCAAGAGGGACATGCGTTTAATTCATGTCAGCTCAGAATGTTGAAATCCCCAATTTGTTTAGTAATTGTTGCAGAGTTATTTTGACTCTATTGTGTTCCTTGTGCACAGAGTGAATCAACATTATGGAGTTTAAAGTTTTTTTTGAAAGATGCACTGGATATTCAGGGCAAGAGTTCAAGTACTGGTGGAAACAGCACGAAGAATCACAACACTGCCACTGCCACTGCCACTGCCACTGCCACAACAACGACGAACTCCAATCATAAAAGAGAGAACTATGATGCCCTAGCCAATAATGCGAAGAAGCGGAGTAAAAAGCTCTCTTCGTAACATACCGCAGTGTGCTGCTCAGTTAGTCCGTGTTTGGTTCCATCATGCATTTCAAACATGATTCTCAGTAACAGAAGATCAAATCTAATCACTCTTTCCCACTCCCGAGTATTGTCTTTGCGCTGCTGATAACTTCAGCGCGCAAATTTTGAAGTCACTGTAGGTTATATATTATCCCTTGTGGCAATGCTTTTTTTGCTGTTGTATAAATAATAAAGATATATATCGTGTTATATAGATAATAAAGTTTCTAAATTTTTGTGTTCCATGTGTTTTATGTTTTGTTGGATTATATTTCCAAAAGCTATTTTACTGTTAGCACACCTACATGCTTGAGGATTATTTCTAAACTAGCCAAGAGTGTATGCATTGACAGGACCTGGATTTTGTTAACATGCCTTCTCATGCATGTGATTGCGCAGTTGAACTGTGCAATCACAATTCTTGGATTTTGTGTCTCACAATAGGGTCCACACCGTGAGATTGACATATTTAAGGTTGTACTTGTGCGTGCGCGACTACACTTCACATTTCTCGTTTTATAAACAACAAATGATATTTGAACAACAAATGAGACGTGCAGTTGTGATTGCACTAAATATTTTTCGATCTGAACAAGTGCGTTGTAATATGTGTAGTCGTGAATGCACTTAGCATTTCGTTGTAGTATGTGTAGTCGTGAATGTACTTAATATTTCCGGTTATCTGAACAATAAGTAAGCTACCGGTTATCTGAACAATAAGTAAGCTATAGTGTAAAGTGTTAACGTAAACATGAAAATTAGAATTTTTCATTGTCTAAACAACAAGTGAGTTAAGGATTAATGTAAACATGAATATTGAACGGTAAATGTGTAAACTAAAACACAAGTAGATTGAATGCTGAATGGTGGAAGGGTGCAAATAAAATCGCTATTTCAATAACTTTTATAGAATACTGATCAATTGATCATTCATTAGAGAATCTTTTACAAGCATGAAATATATCAAATTTTCAAAGACATAAAAATCCTCAAATCTCGAACAAGCATATCATCAAATAGATATTTAAATAAAAAAAATTACTAACGGGCCTAGCGGTATTGGCCTCTTACTTTTCAAAGGGAGGTCAGGTTCAAGTTTCAGAAAAAATATGTGTATTTAAGTACCAACTTAAAAAAATAAAATAAATTTGAAATATTACAAAACATGATCGTGGTTGTGTGTCCCACCACTGTTTCACATTCAGCATTCCAACTTCATCTTTATTCTAACATCATTACTCCCCATCTTGTTTTCTTTTATAAATAATGATAAAAAACCAAGATGGAGACTGATTTGGCCTTTGGAATATTCATACAAAATTATTGTTCTCATAATTTGAATTCATGACGAATGCTTTAGGACAAATGCCTCTACTTTCACATTAAGGTAAGCGAAAGTTCTTGTCTAATTTTTAGATTTAGTCAAGTATGATGCCACACAATTTTAGTATGTCTTTTAAATTTGAAATAGTGAGTTTATATACTCAACTCTCTACCTTTTTAGTATACTTTCTTTGAAAAAAAAGTTCAAAATCTCAAAGAAGTTAATTAATGCATTGACACCACACTTTTTTTTGGTTTTTAAAAATTACTCTTATAATTCACTCAAAAATCCTTTTATTTATCAAAAATGGGAAAAATTACTCTTATAAAAACAAAAAAAAATTAAAGAAAATATAATAATAATAAAAAATTATTTTTAAAATCCCGAGATCTGTGATGCTTCGTCCTGATTAATTCATGACAACCCGTGCAAGGCGACTCTCACACACGGACTAAATTAAACTCGAACTATGTTTGCGGTCGTGGTCCCAAGGAATTGTTCGCACCTAAGGGGAATTGGATTTGAGACCTGAAGCTTAACGGGACTCCGAGCCGCGAGCCTTTTCCACTAGGCCAACCCCTTGGGGTTAAAATATAATTATTTTAAAGTAATGGGCTATATACCAAATTGAAAGAATTGATGCTATGACTTTTGCTCAATTTTTTCTATTTGTTTTAATAATAAAATTATTTTTAAAATTAATATGTTAAAATTTGAGATAAAATAATCATTTTTTTTTTTTCGGAAGATGAGAAAATAATCACTCAATTGCAGTTCAGACTCAGAAGTTTCTGCCAAATTTAAGTTTGATGCCCTAAATTAATATTTATGTCCAAAAGCTCCTCCCTCTCTCTTTTCATTAATTTATTTATTTTATTGGCTCAGTAAGACGCACACACTCAATTTGTTTGCGAAAGCCCGCTAGGGAGAAAAAAAAAAACGAATTACGGAGCACTAGTTCAAAACATATTAGGGTTTCTGTTCTTCCTCAATCCGATTCGAGTTCATTCTTCAAATCTTACTGGTAAATATGTACATATATATGACCTGATCGCAGATATATATAATCAGTTTCGAGTTAGACATTTTCTATCAACGATTGCTGATTATATATACACATATGTTTCTGTTTGACGTTACTTCCCGTAATCGATTGCTAGGGTTTCAATTTTCTCGCCTTCAAACTTAAATGCTGTTTTTGGTTGATGAGAAAATCGGGGAAAAGAAAATAAATATGCAATTTGAAATATATGATTAGTTATGCAGTAATTGTGACCTGACGACACAAATTTGTTCGAGTGTTATCATATTTTACTCTCTTTTATCTGCAAATGTGAGAGTTTTTGTTGAAACTGCAGATCAAATGGAGAACCCTGCCGCGGATCAGCTTCCGGAAGCACATTCATTGCCTGATGGATTTGTTGATAGCGCCACAGAACCATTGGCTCCTTCAACCCCAACCCCTGAGCAAGAAAATCCATTGAATGATGATTATAAGGAGGAGAAATTATTAGAACCTGATTCAAGACCTGAACTTCAGGTCGGTGATGGTGGAACACAGGAGACTCACAAATTGAGAACATTTCCTGTTCCATTGTCTGGAAATGATGGTGATGATGCTTTGCTTGGGCCAGTAAAAGTTCCCAACGAGGGCTCTATGGATAAGATTATGCATGAATCAGCAATGTCTGTTCCTGGGGATGCAACGAGGGAGCTACTGGATGGCTCATCTCATGGTAAAGAACAAGCTGAAGGGAAATCTCAGAGTTCAGAGAAACGTAAGCATCTCTACCTTGATTGCGATTTGGTTCAGTGAAAAAGTTACAACATAGTAATTGCTTGAACCCTCTTACTAATAAATTTCCCCTTTGATTATTCCTTGTACTAGTTCATCATGTATTGTATAAATGTACTTGGGGTGCTTAAGCACCAGTCTTGTTAACTATATATTCACCTAATACAAGGTTCATTACATAATTCTTTGAAATGTCAAAGTTCAAAGAAATGTAACCATCTAGACATTGATTTGCAATTTGGCTTTCAGTGAAAAAGTTGCAACATAGTCGTTGCTTGAACCCTTTTACAAATAAAATTTCTCTCCATCGATTATTCCTTATATTAGTTAATCATGTATTCTCAAAATTGTGCTTTAATGTATCTGTACAAACTTACTTGGGGTGTATACTGCATAAGTACTAGTCTTGTTAACTATATTTTCACCTAAGACAAGTTTCATTATACAATCCCTTACCACACTTTTGTGGCAAAATAGAGCTATGTCATGTATTTTCAATTTCCTTAACTTTCTTTTCTACCCATTTAGTTTCTTGTAGGCATGATAGGGCAACCCTTCTAATCATATTGTCTGCCAACTCCACCTTTTTACTTTCTTTTCTACTGGGGACTAACTTCTTTTTCTGCACTTTTTAATAATAGCACAAAAACTCTCATCCACTTTTCATGTAGATGTCCACTTTTAAACGCACCGTTTAAGGGGAAAACCCTGGTAAATACTTGGAAATTCTCAAGTTCAATGGGGTTTGACAAAGGCCTTATGTTGTCTGTCTCGCCTGTGTGAGGGTAACAGTGTAAGACACCACTCACCACACAGGCGGACTTACTCATATTTTTTAAAAAATGTTAGTAAATTATCTAAATTGAATTTTCTGTGTACCCTTCAAATTTATTATGTGGATAGACATTTACAATGTTGCATATAACATATTGATTTCTTTGCCGTGACTACAACTTGTCCAGTTATATGCTGTATTGGTTTTGCTCTGACCGTTGTGTCCATTTCACCTCCTGTTAGGTGCTACATACACTAGTGGATGATAATTATGACTTATTTTGCCAAACATTTCACACAAGATTGGAACATTTTAAGAATTAAAATCAACTTATTTTGTTTGTGTGATGTGATGACAAAAGGAAATGAAGAGGAGTTGCATGGTTGCCAAATGACACTAAAGCTGCTAAAGTCTAATGGGAGTAATGTTTTAATAGATGAACCCAAATAAATAACAACAACAATAATAATAAAAAACAGAGAGTAGAAACATATACATTAGTAATGTGGATTGAATTTTACATGTGTCTATACATGTATTGATATGTTTATATGGATAGATAATGCTTTAAGGTTATATACCAGATCATTCTTATTTGGCCTGGTTAGCTGTTAGCCCATGAATTGTTTACTTTCTCAGGTGATTTCCTTTTTTTATTATTTATTTTCTTTTGCAGCAGTTGAAGGAAGTTTGGAAACCCAAGCGACCTGCATGAAGGAGATATCTTCATCAGAAAGCATTGAAAACAACAGAAAAGTAGTTAGTAATATTGCAGTATATTGATTTCAGTAGATATAATTTTTGTGGCTTGAAATAGGTTATTTTTGCTGGAAGTCCCTTTCCCTGCTCTACTGCTTTTTCGTAAATATTTTTCCTCCTCTTCCTTTGATGAAAAGTTGAACTTTGATGTGCAGTGTGTGGATTTGAGCATTCTGTTTATTTATATGTTGTGGCATGCTTTTTATTCTGTGTCACTCATCATGTTTCAACTCTTGTTCGAATATTATCTACAATTTCTACAAGAGCCATTGCTATTTTGTCTGTCTTTTTGGCACAATTTTTCATCTGGTATCTGTTATATCATGTTGCATACTTATTATCTTGTAGGAAGGGTAAGAAACATAAATCATACTTATGCACATTTTTTTATTTTGAGGCTTATACAATGTTGATTCTGGTTGAAGGAAACTGTGGAAGAGAAAGATTAGACTTGTTATTAGCTAGCGGACTGTAGTTGCACATTATCTGATGCATTCAGATGAAATCATGTTCAAGGCAATTGGGTAAAGAAATTAGATAAAACTTATTGGTTAGGTAGCTAATTCAGCCGGCACAAATTACTTTACTCAATACTCTTATTGTTCAAGCGTGATGTGTATTTTAAATCGTCTTATTAGTTTAATTGCGTCGCAATTGAGTAAAAGTTGTCGAGAAATTGAATCATAAACATTTTTGATAATTTAATTGATTGTACAGTATGCCAATATGCCATTAGTAGTTACTATATGTTGCATCAACAAACACAATCGTTCATCTGTTCAAAAAAGGTGTTTGGTTCTGACTAAATTTTTTAAATGAACCTGAAATGGCTGGGTAGAGGAAAGGTTTCAAGCCAGCAGGTTGGAATTTAATGCCTCTTTATTGGATATAGGCTATAGCATTGAAAATCTGTGGATGCAGATAGACTGTCACACTTGGGCAATCATATATCATGAAAGGAGGTTCATGACATGACTAACACTTAGTCTTTGTACACTTACTGTTGTAAGCAGGCTTGACAAATTTGGTTCTTAGAAGCTAGTATTATTAAAGGTTTAATATTTGTTTTTATTTGTCCCGAAAAAGAACATGCCAATTAAATCTCTTACCCGTGTTATTATTTGGAAAGGTTCACATTATGTAATGATAATTTTTATGCTGTTTTGTGCTGATTCCACTCCAACTACTAAGATATATTTCACATCATCAAGCTTATGATATTGAATAATATATGTGTTGCAGGAAACCTCTGAAGTGAAACGTAAGAATGCAAAGCGTACCTCTAAATCCGACAAGGAGTTCCTAGAGTTCACTTTGAAATATCAACAAGTGCTTGCAGAAAGAGATGCAGGTAGCATATTGTCATTAAAAATTCTGATTGATGATTGTCTTCAAGAATGCATATTGTAATATATCTTATTGTAAATAAGTTTCAGTAACTAGGATTTGCTATTAATTTTGATTGATTATTGCTGTTAAAGAGATCCCTTAAGATATTTATACCTACATTCTAAAAAGTTGAAAAGGCCATCTCTTTAGACATCACTTACTAAAGTACTACGTTCACGTTCTTCCTTGATGCTAGTAATAATTCAAGATAGTATGGTAACCACACATTATGAATGCTCTACAGTCTCCTGTTTATGTCATGTTATAGGTTTTGAGAATTACTCAAGGTCCATCTGGCCTGACAAGATGGTTGGAGTGCAGGTAAATGAGGATTGGACATTACATATAGCTACAATGCACTGGGTACAAGGACATTACTTCACTTGTGTGTGGATTCAGCTATGAGATATTTGTACGAACTTCAAATCCATCTTAGGTTAAGTAATATAAGAACTTGAAAAGGGTTTGGTCAAGTTTAATATTAGATTGGTGTTTCGCTTATTCTTTTTTTATTTTTTTATTTTTATTTTTAAATTAATAGAAAATTTTAATTTGTGGGTAATGCTGACCGAAAGTTTGAAAATTTGGCAGAACTTATGTTTAACTCTAGGAGTAATGTTGGATTAACATAGATAGATCTACTCTAGAACCTCATAAAATGTTTGAGGATATATTATTACACACTTTTTACTTTATAGAAGCAATCATGGGAATTACTTTGAGGCAAGTTTCTGAGTATGAATTTGCTGAATATTTGATATATTGGCATTTAATAAATTTGCTATGTAGGCAGCATTGAAGACAGATTTATCGTTTCCATATGAGTTTTTTTTATATTTTTTAATGTACAAATTACCCTGGTTTTGTAGCTATTGCTGTTCGAGATAAACTCGAGTCATTGTGTCGTGAGCTACAGCGCCAGAACAAAATGCTATTGGTATATGTTTTCTTTATTTATTTTTTTAAAAAAATGAACTTTATCTTCTTCAACTGATTATATTATGATTATTTTTGGCCAGTCAATATGATTTCATGAGTAGTTGATCCCCCTATAGATTGCAATTTCCTGTCATGGAGATGCTAATGGCTTGCTCATTGTTCTGTAGGATGAGTGCAAACGAGTATCAACAGAGGGACAAAACTTGAGATTAGATCTATCAACCAAGTTCCAAGATGCAATTAAGGTCCAATTTTCTTTTTATTTCCAGAATCTACATCTTTCTCGCATTATCATGGCGGATATTTTATACTTGCAATTTATTCCTAGGTGAAAACGTCAGATGTGGATCAGGTTCTGGCTTTCTTGTTTAATTCTTTATATTATAATTAATTGCTGGCTTCCAATAAAAATTTTGATGTTAGCAGCTTGATGGTAGTATTTGTTAATTTTCTGCTTCATTGGTGAAATCTTAAAAGGAAAGTGGATGCAAGTCGAAATTTCAGTACTTTTATAGTGGATGACTTAATATCTAAAATTTTGATCCAGTAAATTATCTTGATAATAACATACATCCCCCCAATAGAAGTTATGTTGATCTGAGTATTACTTTCTTAAAACTCCAGAATTTTTTATTGATTTGAATTTGTATTTTACCTCGCAAGTCACATCAAATCTCCCTTTCCTCGTTTCTTCCCACGTAACAAGTATGGAATGTTCTTGTTGGTTCTAAAATATGAGTTGCGTCAATATGACTATTAATAAATGAATTAGATGTTTAACACACGTTTTTCTTCTAAACTGCATGCGATACAATGTTTGCGGAAGATTGACACGATTATGACAAATATGCAATGTTCTTGTTGATTCTTCACAAATATAATGAGTTGTGTGAATTAGATGCTTAACACACACATAATTTTTATTCTAAACTGTTTGTGACACAGTGTTTCTGAAAGACTGACATGATTATTAATGCTTTGGAGTATCCTTGTTCAATGAACTTCCTTTCTTCTACCACACAAGTTTTAATTTCTTTCCCTATTAGTTTTTATTTTATTTTTATAAATAAATTACTGATTGAGTAGTGCTTCTTTATACCTTAAACTAATGAGTAGTGCTTTTTTATGCCTTTTTTTTTTTTTTGTTTCAATGTTTAATGCCTTACTGGATTTTAATCTTACATTTTTATAATTTCTTTCTGTCATTATAGGAAGTAGGCAATAAGCTAGAAGAACAGAAAGATGAATGTCTTTCTCAGCTCAAGGAGAATGAGATGTAAGATTATAGAAATCCCTGAGGAACTCTGATTTTTTATTTATCATTTTTTCCCCTCAAAACATGGCGTAATACATTTAGCTTGCTTTTCCTTGCATTCCTAATGTTACAGGTCCACATTTGTTTGTAGTTTTGGAATAATGCAGTATGGAACCTCAAAGTGAAATGAGAACAAAAAAAAATAAAATAAAATTAAATGGCCATTCTCATTCATTTGTTTGGTGATAATAAAATGACGGGCATGGATGAGTGGAACTTGGAAGTTGCTGATTCCATTCTACCAGCTGGTTTTGGTAATTGAATGCAGGAAAGAAACTGAATTTGGATTGAATTTTCAAAATAAATTTAACTAAAAAAATGGTTTTAAGGGTTCTTAAGTAAAAAAAAAAAAAAAGAAAAACGAAATAGCTATTTTCGCATTTGTGGAGGCTTAGATTCAGATTTTGGGGCACATGGTAGAGAAAGTGCAATTTATGTCTTAGATTTGGGGTGCTGGGGATAAAAGGTAAGAGAAGAAAGAGAGAAATTGCTAGTATTTGATCTTTCTCTCTCTCTCTCTCTCTCACACACACACACACACACACACACACACACACAGAGGCTCGGGTGCTTTTGGGACAGGATGGCAGTATCATAACTCATTGACTTGTAAAAACAGAATGGTTATTCTTCTGTCTGAGTGGAGGAAGAGCACTCAGATAGGATTGCAATAATTGCGTTGTGAAGGAGGGTGTGAAGGGTTGTTTTCGTCAGCAAGGCTTGTGGTGAACCTCCAAAGATACCATTCTCCAACTTTTTTTTGCTTGGTATAATCAATTAAAGACTAAGGTGCTGTTTGATAACTCTTTTTAATACTTAATTCTGAATATATTCAGTGCTGAATCAATTTAGTGTGTTCGATTACGCAGTAAGGATATCACTTAAAAGAATAAGTGACAATTTAAAATTGAGTAAAATTTTAAGTGAAGGGGACTTCATTTATCACTGAACATTATATGCTTAAAGTTCAAAAAATTTCTCAATCGATAATTAGCGTTTAAATGAAGCATGAACATATGGTCTTTACGCCTAAACACGCGAAGCCAAGGCCTATTATTTAGCCATCCATCTCTCCCTCACACGTGAAGCCAAGGCCTATTCTTCAGCCATCCATTTCTCTCTCTCTCTCTAATTTATGAGAGATTAGTTGCCTTACCTTATTTAGGTTACTGGCATTTGCTTCTTTTTTCCTCACACTTTACATGGGTCTAAATGCATTTCTTCTGTTTCATGACAGTCCTTTATTATGGATATTATAGCATATTGAGTATTAACTTCCTTCCCAACATTTATCAATTTGTGTTGAAGAGAAGAGAAGATCACAACATTTATCATACTACGTCTATTTGAATTAAGAGGTACCATCTTAAGTGTCCTAAACTATATGCACTTTTCTTCAAGTTCAGGTTGAGAAACAAATTGAAGCATTTTGCTGATCAGTATGCTCTTTCTGAACAGCAACATGCGCAGAAGGTAAATATATTCTTTAAATATATATATATATATATATATATATTTAAAATTCTGGAATTACTTATGATTCATTCTTTTGCTTGGTTTGAATTTGTTTTCATTGTAATTTGAAAGTGCAGTTGAAGCAGAAAACATTGGAACTCCAGCTTGCTGATTTGAAAATTCAGCAACATGAAGAGAAATTGATCCAGGAACAGTCCCAGATGAAATTATATGCAGAACAGGTGTCACAATTATTGGCAACTGAGAAGAATTTGCGGTTACAGTTAACAGCTGATGGAGAAAAATTCCAGCAGTTCCAGGTCGACTTTCTTTGCATGTTACATATTACCTCAAACATTGTTTATAAATGTTTCAATAATATCTGGAAGTAATTGATTGTAGGAAGGGTTAGGTTCAGGAAGTTGTGAATCCGATTGTGGTTGTGCCTACAAGTTTTCATCATCCAACATCAGGCTTTGATGGCAGTTGTGGAATATGTTAGGAATTTGGTAGCACACATTTTAAACATACTGACATAACCTTTACAACTTTATTATTTGTCAAAAAATAACCCAATTGGTTTTCTACTTTGTTTAACTTCATTCCTGATGGATGAAATTAGATACATATTAGTAATAATTTATTCTCTTTTGGGGTGAAAGTACTGCTAGATATTTAAAAAAATAAAGAGTAAGCAGTTAAGGAATCATGTTTATTGATACCTCGTTGGATGAAAATGAGCTTACATTAATAATTGTTCCCCCCTTCGTTGTGTGAAGAGTATTGCTGGATGAAGTTAAAGGGCTAACTCAGGGCATGAGCCTCCTGCATTGCGGAGTCTAGGGAGAGTCAAATAATGCAGCCTTACTTTCGCATGAGAAGAGGCTGCTTCCGGTTTCGAACTTGTGACCTCCAGGTCACAATGGAGCAACCTTACTGTTGTGGCAAAGCCCTATTGCTGGATGAAATTAAAAAATGGAAAAGAAAAAGAGTGAGCGGTCAGTAAAATCTTGTTTATTTATTCCTCCTCTAATGATTTAAATTAAGTGTAATGGAGAAACCTCAAGAGAACTGTATTATTTATCAGAAAATAACCCAAATGGTCTTTTAATTGGTTTAGTTTTATTCCTGATGGGTGAAATCAGTTTCAAATTAGAAAAATATTCATTCTCTTTTGGGGTGAAAATACTGCTTAATATTAAAAAAATAAAGAGTAACCAGTTAAGCAAAACATGTTTATCGATTCCTCTTTGGATGAAATTAAGTTACATCAATAGCTATTCCTCTTTTGTGTAACGAGTATTGCCAGACAAAATTAATAAAGAAAAAGAAAAAGAAAAAAGAGTGAGCTGTAAGTAAAATAATGTTTATTAATTCTCTTTTAATTATCTAATTTAAGTGTAGTGGAGAAAGCCTCAAGAGAAGGAATGATATACATTATATGTTCTAGAATTCCTTACCTAGACACCTCTGGAACTTGTTTACTGAACATGGCAGGGGGATCACTCAGGGCATCTTATTTGGTGCCTGAGTGAGGACCACTCAGGGTGAGAATCTTGCTTGTTTCTTTCTCCTCCTAACTTTAAATGACAAGACCTCAAATGTGGAAAAGACAAGTATATTTTGAAACATACATACATGGAGTTTGTGAGATGGAGTGACATTTTCTTCTTTCCTGGATTTGATCGTAGTAGTAGGCTCTTACTTTTACATGGTAGACAACTTCTTAACATAGGGTTCCCCTCCTTATCTTTCACAAGATCTCTCTCTGTTATGAAGGTTGGATCATGGCAATTGGATCAATTTAAGGAGAAACTTTTTTATCACTCGGTCACCATGGCAATTTATTGTGGGAACTTTAAGGAGGATCAAGATCGCTTTATTGCAATATTGGCATGCCAGGGTCAAACTATTTGGTCTAATTTGTGGCTCTGGATGTGTGTAAGGAACCCTTGTAGGCTTGATGGTAGCCTAGACCTTGACCTTTATTTGGAAGTGGATGCCTTTTGATGTGTCAAGCCATGGCGACTCTTCAGGTCAGGCAGTGGCCTTGTTCCAGTTTGAAGTTCTGGTTATTGTCGGACATTTCTATTTTGCCTACTGTCCTAATGAGAAGTGTTGGCCTGCCGTGGATTATGGGACCCTAGTTTATTGGGTTATTTTAATAATAGCTTTCTAAAAGCAAATTTTAGTATGCTAGCTCCTGTTTATACTTTTTTGGCAAAAAGATTCATCAACCCTGTGACTGTTTGTTTCAATTTTTTATCTGATGGACCCAAACTGAGCTGAAACCTAGTTTTACCACTCACAGTATCTTTCTGCTGGTTAAAAATACTTTGAACTGGTAACAAAGGAAGTGGGGAATCCTGGCATACATGTAAGAAAATTTCATTTTCGATAAAAGTGGAATTTGGTAAACTATAGTGGGGAAATTGCTAGAGAAATAGCTGATAGTGTTATTCAGGCAAGGGAGTTGACTAACCAGTCTAAGAGGGTTTGGTCAAATTTTGCGGGATTTGATATATGGGGTTTAACGGGAGATGAGAGGAAAATAGAGAAGATGAGGAAATGAGAACAGAGAATTACTAGCACAATAAACCGAAATTTCACTAGTGCAACTATTGATGCACTGTTGGGCCCGTTGGGGTGGACAAAAGGATGATATTATCTCCCATTGAGCTAATATATGGTACTCACTCATGCATAGCTTGTGGCTGATTTTGTACAATCAAGGATTTCGAGCTCCTTTTATTGAGTTCATTAATTAACTACAGTAAATAAAAAAATTTACTTATCAGAAAAAAAAAAAAAAAAAAAATTTTCTCCTCCTTTTTGGTAAGATAACTGCTGTCACATTTGAAGGACAAGAAAGTGCAATTTTGGCATGTTTGATATTTTGCTTCATAACATGATGAATGTACAAGCACATTGAATTGTATTTGAAAGAAGCCTTGTGGTCTTAATCTAAACTTATAAGAGGCCCTCTATGTGAATATGGGTCAGTAACTTGGGTATTCCATATGCACGTGAGTTATTAGTTGCCCCAACTTTAGTATTAACTGGATGTTATTTGCTGATTGATAATTAAACATTTTACCTGAGTTAGTAGACGCTTCAATCTTAAATAGTCTTGTGTAAACTTTGAAGGATTCCTCTCTACAAAGAGTGGATGTGAACTTCCTCGAGGCTCTACTAGTGACCAAGATGAGTCATATTGATCGACTGCATATGCTTATTGTTTAAAATTACTGCACACCTTCAAATGTTTAAATCTTCATGCATCAACAGGTGCTGGAGACTTTTCATCTTTCAACCGAAGGTTGTTTTGACAGTTTGGAATGTTTGAAAGAATTGGTCTGCCCCTCTTAGACTTGACAATTTCTTGGCAAGAAATTGTGGCTTCTTCTTTTCGTATTTCAGTCTTTTCTGAAGACTCTCACTCTTTGCACCTCAATGGTGTCCTCATCACTACCTTGTCTTTGATGGGGAGTGTTATGGCAAAAGTGTAATCTGTGATAAAAGTCATTGGGCATTCCCTTGGATAATTGGTAAATCTGTTGGACCATGCAGTAGGAGAGTGCTCTAGGACACAAATTGAGGAATGCAACATTATAGGAGATGAAAGGTTGGGAAACTAATAGTGGTTCAGTTGATGTTGCTCCCTAAATGGTTTCACACTGGAGTATAAATCCGAGGGGTTGCTAGAAGTTAAAAAAATGGTTGACATTCCAATGTTTCATCTGGGGAAAAAAACAATTTGTTTAATGGCATAACAATTTGTGGTTTGGAACTCCAGAATGATTCAGGCTGCTGGCCTCCTGCTATGTGGTGAAGGGGAATTATAAAAAAAAAAAAATAGTGAATGTTTAATGTTGTAAACAATATAAAAAAGAAAGAACAATGCTATAGCCTGAATTTCATATCTAATGTTGTAAATAATATTAGTGAATGTTTAATGTGAATATTAAACAATGTGGTGATCTTATTTTTTTTGAAAAAAATTGGGGACAACATGGGGTTCCTTTTTCTCTGTGGTTTGCATGGAAGTTCACCAAAATTTTAAAGCACTACTAGTCCTGGTGTTACAAGTTGGTCGAATGAGTTTGTTTCACCAACAACCTAGAGCCAAAAGAACTTCGGTTGGTTCACAATATTTTTAGCAAGCTGTGTCGTATTTTCATGTTATATGATTTATAGAGGACCTGGTTTATACTTCCTGGTCTACATCTCATATGTTGATTATATTTCTGCAGGATGCATTGGTGAAAAGCAATGAGGTCTTTGAAACGTTTAAGCAAGAGATAGAAAAGGTGCATCTTCATTTGCTATATGTTAGAGTCCAAATTCTCTTATTATTATTATTATTTTTTATTACCCCCACAAATGCCCACTATGGGGCTCGAACCCCTCAGCTCCCCTTTGAAGGAGGAGAGGTTAATGGCCCGGTGGTATGTTTGTGTCCCGACTTGCTTAGTGGGTAAGTTGCCTTTTTTATCTGAAGTAATTTAATATTCTGCTTGTGATGTATGTAAACCCAGATGGCAAAATCAATAAAGGAACTCAGAAAAGAAAATACCTTCTTGAAGAGCAAATGTGAGAAATCAGACATCACTCTCATAGAACTCGTTGAGGAGGTAAGATTGTTACTATTATACCATTTATGCTCTTCTAGTACATGAACCCTACATCTTTTTCTGAATGTCAAATAGGGCATAAATATAATTATTGTTCATGGTATTGTAGCTTCTAGCAAATAGTTTATAACATCGATAACTCATGCTATTGTAGGTTTATATAATCTCTCTTTTTCCTTTTATTCCTATGCGTTCATAAAATGTCTTCACAACCAGTTAGTTCTGCAGTTCTTATGTTTGGTATTTTATATTACTGTTATTATTACTATTTTTCCACCGCAAGTTATCTTTGAATTAAGAAAACTGCCTTGCAATGAAGTTAAATGCTGGGAACTTCGTTTGTCTGAGCAGCGCGAGCATTTAAAGAAGCAACTGGAGAAAGCTAGGAATCAGAAAGAAAAGCTTGAATCGTTGTGCCGGTCACTTCAAGCTGAAAGAAAGCAAAGTTCAGTTGGTAGTAACAGCTCTGATACGGTTTCAATACTTCAAGCAGAAGGAAAGCAAAGTTCAGTTGGTAGTAACAGCTCTGATACGGTTTCAGTTTGAATACATACTCTACTAGGCTACGTTAAAAAATCGGTAGTGCAATCTACAGTGTATACCATACTATGCTTCAGCCGTGTGCCTTCCCCGGAGTTCTCAAAAGAATTCTTGGAAAAGATCATATAATGTTACACAACGTTCCACCTTTTCTCAGCATTAATTAAATTTTTGTGTTGTATTATTCGAGCTCAATTGTATCTTTACTAATACCTATTTGTGGATTGGAACCGAGATTTGGACATAATATGTGGTTGTTATTTCTTATTTTTATTTGGATGAGGGATTTTGTTTGATCACTACACTTTTTGGGACGATGAAATTCTATATGCAGTACTTACCCCCCCCAAAAAAAAAGGGAAAAAAAGAAAAGAGAGATTTTGTAGGCAGGCAATAGAGTTTTCTTTCAGTGAAACTGTAAAATTTCACTTAAATTGCGTCTCACAAAGAGGTAAAAGATGAACAATATAATGGAGTAATAATTGGCAAGAAAAGGGTAATTTTAAGTACATCTTCTTTTAACTAATGGGCAATTTTGTCTTTTAAAGTTTTGAATTACTTGTGTTTGCATGTCAGCAGCATACAAATGTTATATTCCCAATTGATCTTAACTCATTAAGGCTTTGTGGTCCCAATAATATTTTCTTTACCTCCTAAATTATGTGATCAAGTGGTATCTCCTTTACTTTCTAAATTGTGATCGATCTCAACTCTAAGAAAGGCATAATAGTTGCTTTTTGAAAGGGTAAACCTAGAATAACAAAGACAAATCTCATAGAATTTTGAAGTAGTTCATAACGTTTTTATTTGAATTTGTACCTTAAAGCATTTCACTGATTTTATACTTCCCCTCAAAAGGGCTCAAGTATAAAATTTCAAAATCTTTGGGCTAGTTTGAATTCAACATTCTAAGTTTGGTCAAGAAGTAGAAGGAGATGGTTTAATAGTAAGACTACCCTAAAGGAATGTCAATAGATAATTTTATGATCCATGTGAAATGGAAGAACTTTATGTATCTAGTATTGGACTATTGAGTGCTATAAGAAAAGCAACGTTTAGTATGGTCTAAGGAAAAAAAAAACCCTTCATTGAAAAAACAGGTTTGAATTCCAAGACTAAACTCTGAGTCGGTCAATATAATTGTAAATTTGTAAAATATTTGAGGATATTTTAATTTTTTTTAATTTAATTATTTAGGTTAGAGAGGTTTTTTTTGAAAAAACCAAAGGGTATTTAAGTCATTTTATACAGTGTCAGGTTCTGACACCATGTGCAGATGAAGGTTGGGGTGTGAGTGAAAGACGATACAAAAGTTTAACGTGTGAATAATAGTTATTATCGAAAGATGTCTCTATGTGAGATTGTTCAAACCTAGAAGTGTCACTGAAATTAACCCCTACTTTTTTTTTTCTTCTACTTCATCCCTTCACACTTTTACTTATCCCTTTATGTGATGGAACATCAATCTACTGCACATTGATTCAATAATTTCCAATATAACTAAATCGAGAATACAAAACGTTAAATCGAAAGATATAAAAGTGTCAAAACAAGGATATAAAGTGATATATTTCTATATAACATATTGCACAGTTAAAATAAGAATATTATATAAAAGTTTACATCAATATTGCCCGAGTGTTGCACACTCAGTGCATTTTTTATTTAAATGAGACCCGGGTAAGCAGATGTTTGAGTAAAAGAAAAAAAAGAAGAAGAGACCCATAATATTCTCGAAAGATGTCTCTACATTAAATTTGTCCAAATCTAGAGAGTACCACTAAAATTAATCCATTTTTTTTTTTTTTTTTTCCTTCACACTTTTACTTACCTCATTATGTGATGGAATTTATAGATCTTGGCACTCTCACATGTATCATTATGCAATTTTTTGAGTTCCTGGACACTGATTCTAGCAAGACCCTGATCGCAATCATGCTTTTACGCAGCTATGTGCATTCCATCCGAAAGCCATCCCGTTGTTTTGCGGTTTTCTGTTGATTCAGTAATTCCCAATATAACTAAATTGAGAATACAAATCATTAAATCGAAAGATATAACACTGTGAAAACAACATGATATAAAGTGATATATTTCTATATAAAGATATTATATAAAAGTTACATCAATATTGCTCCAGTATTGCATACTCCGAGTCCTCCTAATTTACAAAGAAATAAAAAGAAGAGACCCACAATGTACACAAATAATACTGTTTGCAAGTGGGACACCACGACCAGGCTATATAAATTATATATACTAGTACATATCACCTGTTCGTTCGTTTAGACTGTTAGAACAGAATCTCGAAAAACCGTTTCTCTGTGTGTTTCCATGGGCGACCAAAGCACCACACCCACCACCACCGCCAACGGTGGTCTGTTGGAGACGAGCAAGTCGGACAGAGCCGTGTGGCTCATGAAATGCCCTCCGGTCGTCTCTCGCTCCTTGCAATCTTCTGTACCTCCTCCTCCTCCTCTTCCTCCTCCTGAAGCTTCCTCCGATTCTTCTATCCCTGTCGCCAAGGTCATCGTCTCCATCGACCCTCTTCGTTCCAATGAGGACCCCTCTGCTCGTCAGGTCTCCCGCATTCTCTCTCTTTCTCTTATTGCTTTATTTCTAGGGTTTTAGAGGTTATGGTTGCATTTCGTTTGGTCCATGCAATTCGATTATTGGGAAGCTAGTTGTAGTGTAATGGAAATTTTGTATTGTTGAAGCTGTTATTTATCAATGAATGTCTTGGTTTTTGGATCAATGTGATAGACTTGTATCACTTCATGCTAAAATCTACTTAACTAATGATTTAGTGGATTTTCTACATTGTTAAATATTATACTGATTTTTTAACAGGAAAAAAACCCTAATGAAGAGGCATGATGGGATTGGACTCTAATAGTTGGCAAATCAAAGTAAATTTTCTATTGAAATTATAAAGAAAGGTTCTTGTTTGAGAACTCGTGTACCTAAGCCACATTGTAAGGAAAATCTTGTGTGATAAAATGTTATTTGTTGCTTTGTTAAATCTCTTAAATGGTTTTGGAGAAGTCTTGAAATTTTGGAAGTCCCCAAAACAGCATTATATAGGATGACCTGCTGTTTGTTTGTTAATGAACAGTTGGAAATTCTGATAACCTGTGTTCACTGATAAAAAAAAGTACAGCAAAACATTCAAGATATGCTACATAGGTGGGAATCAACATATATACTACTTGCTATAATTAAGCAGGGTTGTAAAAGTTTGGGCTGGCAAGTGCAAGATTGTAAGTTTAAGTTCTTGGTTCAATTCTAGGTTTGAATCCAATCTTTCAAACTTAGCACCCTGCGTAGTTGTGATTAACATTATATGTTGATCTTTTCTTATTATAACTCAGCAAATAAATACTGTAAGAACTGTCGTCTATTTGGTGGGAGCTGGGAGGCTGTCTGGTGTCATATTTTGGAAGAAGCAAATATTGAGAGCATAATTGTCAAGGCTTTGAATCTCTCAGTTCTTGAAATTTTTGTCATTGAAATTATTGTATTTGTGGGCTTTGGGGTTGAGAAGTTTTCAGGCTTTATCGTATTTCAGTTTTCTGGAGGAGGTGAAGACGTGGGTGGACATTTTTTTTCCCCCATTTTGGTTGTTCAACCTTTAGTTTCTGTGTGTACGGGCCCTTTTTCTGGCGCCTTTTAGCTTGTAGATAGCAGAAAACATATTTTACTCTGCTATCTGTCTAATTTTATTTTAGGAAAGACTATTTATTTTTAAATATATCGCATCCTTTTATTTTTGGGAAAGAAGAAAAAAAATGTCAATCCGTACAGGTGAAGGACAAGGACTGGAGGTTATTTATTTATTTATTATTTTTATTTTTTTTATAGCATTCCTCTTTGCAAACAATAGTTTTACCTTCCACTTTTCATATGTTGTTTATATGATGATCAGTTCACCATGGAATTGGCTAGCACTGAATCTGGAAATGTACCCAAGTGTTACTCTATGGACATGTCCACGGACTTCATCCCAATGTCTGTGTTTTCTGAATCATCCGAAGGTGAGGACACACATTCTATAGCCCTCTTTTCCGTGCATGATGCTCCTATTATGGCCATTGGCCAGTAAAGTAGTTACTTGTTTAAACTTGATGAGACCATCTTCTCATTATTCTGCTTTAACCTATTACTATTTTGAGATTGGATTATTTTGGTACCATAAGAACCTTGGTAGATTATGGTTCTTCCAGTACTTGTAATGCTAACCTTGGAAATTTCATTGAGGTTCTTAGAGAGATGGAGAACATTTTTGGGATTAATACATGGAATCCCTTCAAAAGATTCTCCATTTCAAAGAATCCAAAAAGTTATTCAAAATTTACAAGATTTAAAGTTCAAGAAAAAATCCAAATCTTGTACCACCACCCATTTCCATTTTGGAAGCAACATTTGGACAAAATATTACCCTCTGGAGATATATTAATGATTCTGGAAATGAGATGTGCCCACAGACTTTGTGGACAGAAGTGACAAAGAAATATTTTTCAAATATTTTTATTAGAACTTTGGTGTCCTGGAAGATCCTTATTTATAATTCGAAGAACTTTAAAGCTGTCAAAGCTTTGTTGAAACCAAATTCTAGATTTAGAATCGTCATTTTCTCATTATGCCATCGTGATGTTGGTTTTTAAAGATCACCAGTATTCACATTTGCACAACCAACAGCAATCTGTGTGATATATGTCATGCCCATTGCTTTAAGAGCACGCAACAGCCATTAACAACTATTCACAACTATAAGCATCCGCCACACATACAACACAGCCATAGGGTGGGTGAAGGGGAAATTTTCAATAATTTTTTGATCAGTTTCTGACAAGGTGAGTTGTCCTTTGTCTCAAGTAGAACTGCAAAACAAAACCATATCTTTGTCCTCTTAGAACAATTCTGGTTGACAGGTAAAGCTAACTACTATGTGGAAACTTTTATTTTTTCAATTTTTGATAGGTAAAAGAATTATATATAAAAGAGCTACATGGGAGCCTTGGGAGGTATGCAGAGCATTCAAAGTAACTAAACAAGTAAGATCTTAACTAAAACTCAGATCATCTAATATCTATCAAGGAATCCAAAAATTAGGATGCCTTCCTGACATCTTAAAATGATAAGATTATTTTTATTTTTTATTTTTAGTCTTCAATTTCTTTAAATCCGTGACTTCCACATCTAAATCCTCAATATTCTCTGAGTTCTTTCCCTCCAAATGCTCCACATAAGGAAAAATGAAGCTGCCTACCATACTTGCAGAACTCTCTTGTTGATACATACCCCAACCCCCTAGTCAAAAAAAAAAAAAAAAAAAGTAAAAAATTCTACGACTAATTTAGCCACAATCAAATTTGGAAAAGGATAAAACCGAACTCCCGAGCTCTCTGGCATATAACAAAGATTTCAGAAAGCAATCAATCTGATTGCACAAAACAAAGAGAAATGCTGCATGACACATAGACAGATTTGGGGTTTCCAAGTGTGGGCAGTTGAACCTTAGCTATCTTAACAGGCATTTCAGTGGGTTCCATATGACCCAAATTCAACCCATGTGGGAACAGTTGTAGTTGTGAATGATTTTCCAGTTGCTGGCAATATTTTGATGAATCAGCTTCATGTTAAAACTAGGTTTATTGCGTATAGTGTGCTTAAACAAAACAGCTAAAGAAATAGATTTTTTTTGGGGTTTTGCTACCAAGTCGTAAACCCACTCGGACATCTTAGGTTTGACTCGCACAAGGTCCAAATTTTTTTAAATTATGTGTGATTCGAGAGTGATCATTGCACATATTCAAAATTTACCTCCCAATCTTGACCCAAGGGTGGAAATTGTTCCCAAAATGAGTGATTCATATGGTCTTGGTTCTGTCTCGCACCGAAGGGGATCCATTTCATTTCTCAAAAAACTCAAAAACAATTTGTTGACCAAATTGACTAAGATGGCCATCAAAAAAATCAAAATCGATATTTAAATGAAGAGAGGAGCTTTTGATACCAAAATGATGACAATGTAGAAAAATATATATTGTCAAACCAATATATATTTGCAGTTGAGAGAGAGAAGGAGAGAGAACTATCACAGCTGCAGTGGCTTACCAATATGGAGGGAAGGGGGAGCGTGTGTGATGAAGGGCTTTTAGTGCTTCCCTTTAGGACCAAGGGCATGTTCTCAACTATTTCATTCTTCTAAGCATGAATTCATATTGAAAGGGCAATTTTGTCCTCTAAAAGTAGTTTCTAAGACAGACGAGGATGGTGGTTTGGACTTTGGAAAGTGTACTTTGGATTGGATTTCTAGGTTGATGGACTTTAAGAATGATAGATATTTTATTAATTTTCTGAATCGAATTTTTTTGAGGGGGCTTTTGGTTTTCTTTTCTTTTTTCCCCCAACATGTTTATCTCACTTCTAAATGGAATTTATGCATTGCACTTTTTCGATCTGGCCTTCCATAAATTTTCAATTAGTGCAATGAAAAATAATATTTGCACTCCACAAAAGTATTCTCTCTCCACTTTCTTTTTAAAAGAAATGACAAAATGTCCCTAAATATCATTCTCACACTCCACAACTGTTCTGGAGAACTCTTATACTTCACTTTTGTGGAAAATTGTGTCATTCCTTTATTAAGAAAATCAAGTTATGTGTGTATATCACTTCCCAAGACATTTGAAAGAAAAAGGGGGGTGGGTAGAGTTTTGTAGTCATACCAAGTCTATTTAAACTACTTTTTTAAGAAGTAGAGGCAGCATTGTTACCTCAGTCTTTCTGAAAAAAAAGTATCAGAATCAAATGGTTCTCTTGTTTTATATCATAGCCCTTTACATTAGAAAAATCTAGCTGCAATTTTATATTAAAAAATTCTACTATTTTTAAATACTATTAATTATGCTTGATAAGGTTAAATAAATTGCGCTTCTTCATCACCCCAACTTTGTGAGTACCATTTGATCGCACTCCTTGTTGAAAAGCCGTTGCACAACCTTGAATATTTTTCTCTTTCAAAATGTGTCTTCTTGTTGCCGCAATGGTCCAAAATGGAATTTCTTTCTTGGAGTTTACCTCAACAAGCTAGGATGCTTCCATTGAAACTATGGAGCACATGCATGATGTCACGAGGATCACTACACTAATTGGACGAGAATTTGTAAATGGATGCAAAAAGAGCCGTAGGAGTTTTAGCGTTGCTGCACTGGAATCCTGGGGAAGTTATAATTCCTTCCAAATTTAATTAGTCTCAAGCAAAGATGTTCAATCAACATTCATTATTAGACAAATAGGGACAAAATTTGGTTCTAGGCACATAAGGAGAGGAGGTGACTTTCATTGTAAATAAATTGGATTGCTATTTTGCAGGTCCTGATAATAAGAACTGCTAGGTTTGCTTTTAATCACTACTCATTGTGGTTCTTATTTTACTGTGAAAATTTCTTCTGAATCCAGTTTATTACTGTTTTGCTGGTTTTCTCCAAGAAACATTCCTGACAAACTGGCTAATCATATATATGTATTTCTGAATGTTTATGTGTGTCGACAATGCACGTCTCTGCTACAATGAAAAAGTAATTTACTTCTTGCAGTATTACATTTGCACTAGTGTATTTTAGGTTTACACATGATATGATTTTAGTAATATCCATAAATTTTTCTCTTTTTCTTTTACCCTTCTTTTTCTTGTCTTCTAAGAAGAAAATAATGGTAGAGAAAATTGTCTGAGATGCATGGGAGCCTAAAATTTAACTAAGCTACTTCAAAGCGAAATGCAAAGAAAATGATAGTGTGAACTGAATTACTGGATTGGAAAATTTTATAAAAGACTCATTCCAAAATATTCACAAACAGACATGCAGAATGATTTCTACTACTATTCAAAATTCATTCCTTTCTTTACCTCTTATAATTTCTTAAAAAAAAAATCTTCTTTGACTGGATGAGTGTAATGCAGAATTTTTATGCCAATATTTCTGATGGTAGTTCCTTTTTTGTTTTTGTTTTTTTTTTTTTTCTTTATTTAATGAAAATTTCTACTTGGTGTTGGGATTCATGATTGTTTTTGGTTTATTCCTCAAGATGTTTAGTTTTTCTTATGAGACTATTTTAGCAAACTCAGTGAATACGGATGAAATTCTTCTCTATTGTAGGAAGGTTTTCTGTGGAGGGGAAAATATATCACAAATTTGACATGAAGCCTCATAATGAAAACCTTGATGAGTATGGGAAACTCTGCCGTGAGCGGACAAACAAGTATATGACAAAAACCAGACAAATACAGGTTCCTTATTACTTCATGTTTTTGTTTTATACTTGATATCCAGAATCTAGTTACTTCTTTTCCTAATTTTTTTGGACCTTTTTAGGTGATTGACAATGATAATGGATCACATATGAGGCCAATGCCAGGGATGATGGGTCTCAAGGCTTCTGGACCCAGTGTACTCACTATTACCTTCTTTGTTATGTATAATTTATTGTGTTGAATGTATACCGTATCTATTTTCCTGTGTGTTTGTGCATGAGGAGGGGGGTTGACTTCTTTCCTGCCCCTGTATGAACACGAGGACAAATTTAAATTATTGACCATCTATCCTCACATATAAAAAGCCCTCCTATTTTTGAATAGGAAAAGAAGAAAATTCCAGGGAAGGGGTCAGAGGTGAAAAGAACGAGAAGGGACCGCGGAGAGATGGAAGAGATTATGTTCAAGCTCTTCGAGAGGCAACCAAATTGGACTTTAAAACAACTGCTCAGTGAGACAGACCAACCTGAAGTAAGTTGATAATTTTTTCCCTGCATAATCATTGAAGTATATATGTACTTGTAAAATATCATTTTGTTATGGACCTATGGTCCTTTCACTGGCCAAGTATATAAGTACTTGTTATTCCCTGAACAATATCTTCACTCATTTCATTACTATAATTTACACTACCATCTATTTGCCACTTGTTAATTGGCTGGTTTATTTTCTTGATCATCTGTCCATTGAAGAATGTTTACCAACCCCATGAATTCACTGGGGCTTTTGAAGAATTTTTATTGAAACGGAGAATACTTTTTATGTTTTTAGGTACTGCTAAAATCCTCTTTTAAGGACATATTTTGTACCCCAGCTTTCATCAAACTTTTGCGATTCCTTTGAACTACGTCTGCCAGTTTGTTTCTTTTTTGATTCTTTTGGGCCGGGAAAGAAAATCTGCTTTTTAATCCATAGGATGATGAGACAACCACCCTGATCTTCGCAGTCAACTATCACAACTTCTTTGGGAACAATTAGCATATTGCATTTTACTCACTTATGTTACTTGTGTTGAATTATTAACAGTTGTTCTGGCCTTGTTCCTTTGCAGCAATTTCTGAAAGATATGCTTAAAGATTTGTGTGTCTATAACAACAAGGGAAGTAATCAAGGGAGTTACGAGCTCAAACCAGAATACAAGAGATCGGGCGAGGAAACAGATCCCAAGACCTAACTAGTTCCTGTGATGTTGATTTACTAATCCAAATGCTTTCCATCCTGTTCATATATAGTTTTGCTTATTCCCAGACTCCATCATTGTCCATTCCCCTTTCCCTCCAATCGTAGTTCTTCTCAGCAAGTGAGGTGGATGACCAGAAACAGAATGACATTTCTACTGATTTGTTGATGTCTAGTTTCAAGTTTTCCTTCTCTCAGTCCACTTTTCCATGAAACCTTATTTGCTGATAGCTCTCTAAGTATTGATTCCCAGGCGCTCTAGTTTCTTTCTTGTTCTATGTTTCTCTGTACAGACTCTCGTCGTTTTGATTAAACGAAACCCTTGGTTGCCGGAACTGTTAGATGTTAATCAATGACTTCGATTTCATATAAATGGGATCAACATTTTGAACACGGTGAATAGGTGATATTTTTGTGGATAAGTTACATTTGTGCATGCTGAAATTTCGAAATATTTGGGATACTTTTTGAAGCACAAACTATTCAATATAAACCTGGTTGTTTTAGACTTCTGTTTTGACAATTACACATGTTACATGTATGCGTAATTTGACAATTTGAACTTCTGTTTTCCATGTCTTAACTTATCTTCTTCTTCTACTACTACTTTTATTTATTTATTATTTTTTATAACATTAAATTTATCTTACCTATATATATATATATATATAGCTTATCAAACTTTTATTTCATGATTATATGATATGGATGAAGAACTTGGTTTGAGAACTGCTGCATTTATCAGTGTTGGTGTGCACAACCATCCAGAGACCAATCTACAATTAAGTTGGACAGCTTTTGGGATATCACTTGACAGTAACCATTTTGATCCTAGTTTCATCAAAATTAAAGTTCCCATGTCCCAACTCACCAAAAAAATAAGAATTCCAAGCTATCCGACGACGTTCCATTCCTTTTTTTTTTTTTAAATGTATTGGAAAATATGAGCTTGCAATCTGCATCAATAATTACCAAACGCGTGGAATGTATCACAAGAACTGTTATTATAGCAGCATAGTATTTAAACAGATGAATGAGAGTACACTGTACACAAATTAGCATCAATATGTGTGTACATGTCAGGGACAAAATGTGTTGGTGTATTATTTGAGAGGAAGTATATTATACACACATAATTGGATACATCGATACACATATATGAAAATTTAATTATCTAAAGTATGCAATTAAATTATCTATTTCCCTAATGTCCCATATATGTGCATCCACATATCCCATGTCACATATGCAATTTTAAAACACAAAATACACGTTATACACGTATATTTGTCATTATACATCTATTTTCATACTTACATACCCTCATAAAATAAAATAATAATAACAAAACCATCCAACTAATTTCTTACATTTTTTGCAACTATATATATATATCTATATTTTTTATTTTTTGCAATCAAATAAATACGCGAGTCTATATCGGATATGTTTTCCTATTTCAAATGAGACTTTGATACTATATGCCGTTTTGCACAATTTTCTTCCAATTAACAAAACCTTCAATTATATAGGAAAAATATATATATAGTCCTGGGCCAATTAGCTTTTGACACCTATACAAATATGTAGTATATTCCTGGGCCAATTAGCTTTTGACACCTATACAAATATGTAGTACAAACAATTTTAATTATATATATATATATATATATTTTTTTTTTGGTTTGCTTAGGTGTCATCAAATGGAATCAAATAGCAAACGGACACCGCCCGCTACAAAAAGCTGTTATTTTCGGTCCGTCCAAGCCCTAGAATGTCGAACTCTACAGACAACCTCCTCTCTTTCACAACAACAACGCACACATTCGGCGAGCCCTGGCCCGAATTCAATGGTGGTCTAACCTACCACGACAGACTCCCATCATCCGATCATGGTCCTCTCTCTCTTTACACATTTATATATGCGTGTTAATGTATATCTATCTATATATTGATATATTATGTATATATTTGTTTTAAATTTGAAAGTATAGTTAATCTTTCACAGGTTTGACATTGATCGAGTTCTACTCTAGCAAGTACAAGAATTCAGCTCCACTACAGGGGTGAGCATATTCTAATCCTATCCAATTGTGTTCTTCCATATATATATATATGTTTGTATATGTATATGTATATTAAAAATCTAGATTTATTTTATTTTATTTTAGTACTGATAATTTAGCAGTTGGTTGCAGAGAATTCACAATGCACAGGTTCATTTTCTGAAACAATGTTGAAAATGTTTGAATTGTAAAGGGATTTATGTGATTTGGTGATTCTTGGAGCTGGTTGTTTGTATATCTGTAGATAACAGTTGATGGTAGGGTTGTGACGGATCCCAATACGATTCTCAGGTTTTTAATGCACATCATCTGTTTGTATTATGTCATTGTTATGACTCAGTTGAGGTTTTATGCTGATTTTCTTGAGGACTTGAATTTTTAGAGCTGGTTCAGAGCTAGTCTATCACCGACTTCCGTGGAAAGAGCCTGATGCACCCTACATACTGAAAGTTCTATTTGAAGATGATGATTTGGTATATGAGTTGAGATGGTGTTTCTTTTTATTTTTCAATTGAAGTTGGGCCCATTTCTGCATCATAATTCACATAATGCTCTTAGGCTTGCGCTTTTTAGTAGGCTCGAGGCTAAAAAAAGGCACCTCTTTTATTTTGTAGTCATTGATTCATATCATTTTCTGTTTTATTAGTGACTACTAAATTAAAATGTTCTATATCATAGCATGATCAGAGTTAATGGATCATATTGTTTAACCTTATGAAGTATTTGACAAAATCCATAAATTAATGGTTCACTACTTACATTAATTCTAATTAGTGCTTGATTCTGGATATATTTAATAATATATGTTTCTAATTTGCATGATTATAGTTTTTTGTTCTTTCAGATTTTGTGATCACATTTGATTTTTTTTTTTTTTTGATAAGTAAAATGTATTAGAAGGCGTTCAAAAGGGGAACGCGTCCCCCAAGTTATACAAAAAACTGAAACTATGATCTCAAGGAGCCCAAAAAGTCTACAATATCCTCAATGGAGGAAAAATCTCTCCCCCAACCCCAACAAAAAAGAGTACAAATAATAGAGAATTTCAACACCCCAATGGAAGACTCCTTCCCATCAAAAGATCTTCTATTCCTCTCTTTCCAAATGGTCCACCAAACACAAAAGGGGGTTACCCTCCAGAAGACTCTCGCCTGAGCCCCCACCCATTGGCCCCTCCAAATATTCAGCAATTCCCGAGATGTCCGAGGCATAACCCAATGAATACCAAACAAATCAAAAATGAGACTCCAACAATCATGACCCACAGGACAATGCAGCAGTAGGTGATCCACTGACTAACCATTCAACTTACAAAGACAACACCGATTAACAATAATATATCTTCACTTCCTCAAATTATCCAAAGTCAAAATCTTGCTCCAAGCTACAGTCCACATGAAAAAGGCCACCCTAAGAGGCGCCTTGGACAACCACACCGTCTTCCACGGGAAGGAAACGCCATGAAAACCAGAAAGGCACACAAAAAAAGACCAGACCTGGAACATCCCCTGAGAAGAGGGCACCCAAAACAGGGAGTCAACACCAGTGCCCTCCACCTCCTGTCTGTACAAGAGAGCCAACAAGCTAGTGACATCATCCAACTCCCAATCCTGAAAAGATCGCCGGAATCGCACATCCCAAGATAACCTCCCGCTATCAAGACGATAGCAATTAGCAACCATAGCATGTTTGTCAACAGCAATCCTGAACAGCCTTGGAAACAAAAGAGCCAAAGGCCTATCCGCGCACCAGGGATCCTCCCAAAACCGGACAAACCTTCCATCCTGAACTTTGAATCTAACATGTTTGGAAAACTCGTCCCATCCTTTTCCAATGGCCCTCCACACCCCTACTCCACTAGCAGACCTGACTGGCCTAGCTGACCACCCCCCTCTCTCTTCCCCAAAGCGACAGGAAATAACCCTTCTCCATAATCTATGCCTTTCACTACCGAATCTCCAAAGCCACTTACCGAGGAGAGCACTGTTAAAGGGGGCCAATCTCCTAATCCCAAGCCCGCCCAACTGAAAAGGCCTGCAAACCTGCTCCCATCTGACAAGATGATACTTAAATTCCTCTCTACGACCCCCCCAAAGGAAGTTTCGTTGTAGCATCTCAAGACGGCCAACAACCGAGGTTAGAACCCGAAAGAGCAAAAGAAAATACGTTGGAAGGCTTGACAAGACGCTTTTCAGTAACGTAACTTTACCACCCTTGGAGAGATATTGCTTTTTCCAACCAGCTAATCTTCTTTCGACCCTCTCAATCACCGGGTCCCAACTTCCCACCCTCCTGGCCGAGTCCCCCAGCGGCAAACCCAAATACGAGATAGGGAAACGTTGTGTCCCACACCCTAAAACAGCAGCCAGAGTGTTCACCTCCTGAACCTCCTCCACAGGGACAAACACACTCTTGCCCACGTTGACTTTCAAACCAGAGACAGCCTGAAAGCAAACTAGGACACATCTCAAATACCTCAACTGGGACACCTCTGCCTCACATAAAACAATAGTGTCATCCGCAAAGAGCAAGTGAGAAATCTCCATTTGCTAAACGGAGTTGGGACCGATCTTGAAGCCCCTGATAAAGCCCAAATCCACAGCCTTTCTCATCAATCTACAAAGAGCCTCCATAACAATAATAAAAAGGAATGGGGAGAGAGGGTCCCCCTGCCTCAGACCGCGAGAGGTGCCGAAAAATCCCGCAGGGGACCCATTCACCAACACCGAAAACCTGACAGTGGAAATACATGAAACAATCCATTTCCTCCATCTCTCACCAAAGCCCATCCTCTCTAACAAGTAGAACAGGAAATTCCAACAGACATGATTATAGGCTTTCTCGATATCCAGCTTACATAGAACCCCAGGAGCCCCACTACACAATCGAGAATCCACACATTCACTGGCAATAAGAGCGGAATCTAGGATCTGTCTACCCCCAATGAAAGCATTCTGAGACTCAGAGATAACTCCATCCAAGACCTCCCTCAAACGGAATGCAAGGACTTTTGCGATGAGCTTGTAAATGCATCCAATCAAACTGATTGGTCGAAAATCCTTAATGTGAGAAGCACTGCCCTTCTTAGGATAAGAGCAATAAAAGATGCGTTCAGTAATTTCTCAAACCGCCCCGTGGAATGAAACTCATGAAAAGTGCCCATCACCTCGTACCGGACCACCTCCCAGCTCTCCAACAGAAATCTCATAGTAAAGCCGTCCGGGCCTGGAGTAAATATCAAATATACAATTTTTAGAGTCGCATATCTTGAATTGTTCCAATTGTACATTTATTGAATTCATATGAAGATAAAAAAGATATATATATGTTGATCTAGCTAACCCATTGAATTGATATGCTGAAAAATTCCTTATTTTGATATTGACAAGTTTTTTTAGCATATTTGTATTTAATATGCATTATTATTATACACGCTCCTTACTTCGATTAGGCTCGCACCTTATATTGATCTTGCACTTAGGCTTCAGAATACCTTTGGCACCTTAGTATGACTTGAGCATTTAACAACTATGGTTGCATGTAATTGTTTTTAGTAATAAACCATTGCATATAATTTTTAAGACTTCATTATGCTGCGTTTACTTGTTTTTAATGTAAAGTGCTCTTTAATGTATTTAGATTGCTCTAAATAAGCCATCTGGCCTGCAAGTTCTACCTGGGGGATTATTCCAACAACGGACTGTTTTAACCCAGCTTCAGTGGCAAGCAAGCAAGCAAAAATCTTCTTTAGCATGTCAAAAACCACATCCAGTTCCAGTTCATCGCCTAGGAAGGGGCACATCAGGTTGGTATTTACGGTTGCGTGGAAACTTTTTGGTGAATAGAATAAGCAAACTGTATATTATTGAGATTTCTATGGTTTATAATAATGCTCATAGAAATTCTGCTGTTAAATCTACCAAAATACCAATTAATCTGCAATTGAGGAAAAACCATGGAGGTTGGAGCTAGTTTCTGTCATAAGTATAGACTTATGTTTGAACTTCAGAAAGAAGTAAAAAAGATTATGGATATACATTTTAAAAAAATGGTATCTGTTGCCTTTAAAATCCTCATGGTTGATTTCAAGACTCTTGATAGATTGGCACGGTGGACAAAATGCCATGTTTCCTTCTCATAATTGTTATAATTTGACAGAATGGATATTTAATGGGTGCTAGTTTTCTGTTTATGTCCTAGATAGCACATAAACATCATATAATCCTTTCCTTCTGGTACTTTGCGCACTTCCAGCTCTACAATTCTAATACTTGTGTTGGTTTTAACCTGTTATTAAATTAATTAACAAGTTCTTAAATTGTTTCATAATATATATACTAGTGTCCAAGTACTTGCAACCTTACTCCATTTTTCTTTTTCCCTGGTCGGTTTTTAGGAATTTTGCTGTGTGCAAAGACGAAGCACGCAAAAACTTGCCTTGCAACACATTTTGCTGATGGAACATCAGCTGTGGGAGACTGCAGGTTAGGGAAAAGAATAATCCATTTTGTTACAGTTTTAACGCCTTTAGGAAGACCTATGGTCCTACACTAACTAATAATTGCAATAAGATGAAAATATGTTGTTGTTTTATCCTTGAGCCTGAATATTGATGTTCTTAATAGGCCTGAGGTTGTGACTTATAGAGCTTGTTGATTTAACATCTCTTTTGGGACATTGAGAAGATTATCCATTTAACTATTTGAAATTTTTTGGAACATTTTTTTTTCTGGTTCTTGAGGATTACTATATGAATTTTTTGTTATGATTTGAGCGCAATTCACCATGATCTGTTAACAAGTGCTCAATACTTGCAGATCACACAAACCACATAAATTAAAGAAAATTTGAGTTAGTGATGACTTTATGAGGCAGTATAGAATTTCCATTTATAGATATGACAATTTCTTTAGTGAACAGGTGAACACAATTGCCAGCAGTGCCAATAATTTATGAGGCAGTATAGAATTTCCATTTTTGGCTGATTTTCAGCAGGACCAACTTGTTGCTGGTTTTGAATTAGGCCCAAAGCTTCATCAACAACTAGTTCTTGATTGGGACCACCTTTAGGTGCTTCCACCGGCTCTGACATGACGACCTCATCGCCGGCACCAATTGGCTCCTGGTTTGAAATTGGCTCAACGATTTTAGCTTTTCCTTCTTGATAAAAAACACTATTTTTTATTGCTGCAAGGACTGGATCCGATTCCTTATCAACATATAGTGGAGTGCAGTCTACATACATAAACATATCATATATGCCCCCTCTAGTAGATTTTGGGAGGATGTGTGGTGTGGTGATGCTCCTCTTGCTCTTGCCTTTCCTCAGCTTTATAGGATTGCTTCGGATAGGCAGACCTTGGTGGTTAACTGTTATCATCTTGATAATGGGAGACTGGTTTGGGATGTTCGATTCAGGCGTGCCTTTCAGGATTGGGAAATTGATGAGGCAATTCGTCTCTTGGAGTTGTTATATCGCCAGAGGATTGTGGTGGAGGATTCGGATTGTTGGTATTGGGTCGCAAACTCTAAGGGGCGTTTTGAGGTGAGGTCTTTCCTCAAGTGCCTCTCTTTTGATCCTGGAGTTCGTTTTCCTTGGAAGTCTGTTTGGCGTTCTAAGGCTCCTCTCAAAGTGGCTTTCTTTGTGTGGACTTCAGTTCTGGGTAGGATCTTAACCCAGGATAATTTGAGAAGGAGAAGCCAGGTGGTGGTCAATCGTTGTTATATGTGTCTTCGTGATGAGGAATCTGTGGATCACCTTCTTATTCATTGCTCTTTGGCTAGAGAGTGTAGGGATTTGATGCTTGGCTAATTTGGGTTTTATTGGGTTATGCCAGGATCTACTAGAGAGTTGATTGAGATGTGGAGAGGTTGCCATGTGGGGGCTCTCAGTCAGGATGCGTGGAGAGCTACGCCGCTTTGTGTGTGGTGGTGTATTTGGCTTGAAAGGAATAGGAGATACTTTGAAGGAAAAGCGATGTCGATTTCGGTGCTTAAATTCTCGATTATTTCAACTCTTTTTTGTTGGGTTTCAGGGAGAGATCATAGATCGTTGGGGGAAATTGTTGATTTTTTGGCCTCTATGAAGGCTTGAGTCCTTTGTGCTCTTTTGTATTTCCTTGGGTTTCGCTCCCCTCTTGAGCGTCTTTTAATATTATTCTTTTATTTATCAAAAAAATAAATGTGAAATCAATATTTACAACTGCATAAAAAATTAAAAAGAACTTTGAATCTATTTCAGAGCATGTGAACCAGAGAAAAGGCACGAGGAATGCATCGTGGAGTATTCTTTGGACCCTATCTAATTAAGTTCATGGTTAAATTTTAAAAGTTGAGTAAAAGGGTAGCCCACTGCACGAAGATCCCGCCATTGCGGAGTTTGGGGAAGGTCCGATGTGTTTTATTTTTAGTTACCTAAAGCCGTGCCTACGTAACAATTTCTGTCTGTCTTGGTCTCCCAGTCTACTAGCATGGCAGTTCAACTTGGTCCTGAATTCGGATGTAATTGTCTTAAAATGTGAAGTTTATTCCTAAGTTAGCTATACTTGTTTTCGTTTGTTCACCAATTGAACTGGTGTACTCAGGAAATTTTCCTTGGTGTTACGGCTGCATATTATCTTTTAATCTGCTTGCCTTTCTTCATAGTATCGTGATTTTTAATTACAATATCCTTTGCTAATACATATAAAGACAATATTTAAATGTACAGAAATACCACTGCGGATCTCAGTGCGTTGAGGAAAATTTCAAAGATATATCGTGCACTAGCAAGTGGGATACTTAATGAGGATGAGGTAAAACCATGCCAAAACACACTTTCTTTCCTTTTATTTATTTTTATTATTATTATTATTGTTATTTTGCTCTCTCCGATATAGTTGTTTATAGTGCATTCCCATGCTATTTGATCATGCTGCCAATTTCATTCTTTTTGGAATAAGTTCTGCATATATAGAAGAGTGGATAACTAGAAGAACCACACATGCACACTGTTGTCAGAATATTTTCCTACATTTTACCAAGATTAAGGTGTTGTCATCATTATTTTATTTTATTTTTATATATATATATATGTATATATGTATTTGGGATATTTTTTAGACCACATCCTGTTGTTTAAAGTTCAAAGATAACTCAATCTGATGTGAAAAGAATTATAGAGCTTTAATAATTGCATGATTAATCTTTCTTCAGTACCATACTGTTGAGAGGATGAAAGTCATTGCTTGGTGCAATGGTCAAAGCTTGGGTTGTCAAACTTGATAATCTATCTTCAAGTTTAAAAGCAACCGTTTGTGTCAATAATATCAAAATGATAGGTCTATACCTGTCCATCAGCAGCACCCTGCATAGGTAGACCCATACCCTGTCCAACACCAGCACCCTATATTACTTGACCAACACTGAGCAATACATTTTATATTGTTGCTTTGATAAGTGTCTACCACTCTGATGTGAAGCTATTGGCATGGCTCACCTCGAATTGCATGGATATAACATAACTTAGTGTAGTATTGTAATCACCCTAAACCACATTGGGGTACATAAAGTTGTTGTTGTCTACTGGGACCTTATGAGGTATATGACTTGAAGGTTGAAATTCAGGATTCATCGAGCTGACCTCACTTCTAGTTTAGGGATGTTTTACATGATCCCAAGTAGTTGCTTTCCTTGCCCAACAAGGATTGTATTACTTGCTCACCAAGCCAGGGTTAAGAACTGTTTATAAATAGAAAGAATTGTGTGGGGAAGGTAGAGAAGAAAAGATAATGGAGGAGTGAGTTAGAAGAGAAGAGAGTGAGTGGGTGCAAAGGGGAACCAAGGGTAGGGAGATGCAGCTTCATAGAAATTGGTGAGTGTGGGGGGTCGAGATGATGAGCGAGTGGGTAGAACACCAATGATGGCGAGTGGTAGACTGTAAAGGCTCGAGTATACAACACCATAACTTGAGCAGAGTATTTCAATTAAGTGTTCAAAGTCTGTACTGGTATAATTTCTCATGAGGCAGTAAGGGAGTGGGTGTTCTCTACTGTTGGATATTCTCTTCTTGATTCATTATAGGGGAATTTATTCTCTCTGTGGACGTAGGCTAGATTTTGGGTGAATTACATAAATCTTGTGTTTGTTTTGTGATTGTCTTTGTTGTTATGCTTCCGCTGCCCCAACATAAGTGGATGACCACATTGCACATAAAGGCATCTCATTGGTCTGTGGACTGTGCTAGAGGCAAATACTAGGACCTAATGAGAATATGAGACTACCGTGTTGGCATGAGCAATCTCTTGCTCTCATTGTACTATTAAATCGATCCTTACTTCATACTTAAGGAAGGACCTATATGATTCCCAATTTCACATCCATTTCCTGAGTCAATCTTTGCTATGAAGATTAGGCTTAATACTTCACAGGGTTCTGAAGATTGAGGAGTCATCGTTGACCTCGATTGCCATTTTCTTGCTCTCTTTGCTGAGTCAGTCTCAACTTCCATAAATTACAATCCTCCTGGGATTTCCTAATTACATATAGTTCCTCTTCCTAGTCATTTGTCCAACTCACAAAGTTGTAACTACAATTATTAAATAAATGTGAATCATATGCTACACTTTACATGCTCATTATATGCATACCCCCCTTTTATGAATCCAACACAGATACTTCACACATTTATATAGCCAACATAAAATAGACTTTGAGATATTGGCACTTGCAATGCGTATGCTCTTAATCTTATGTCTTGCTTCTCTCTCCTTATGAAAATTTTATGAGTAAAAGGATTGAATAGCCTACCTCTTTTTCTAAAGAGTTCGGAAGTTTTGGGACTCATCATATCTACCTTTGTACCCATTCTAGTATATTTACCAAGATTTTACGAACAAATGGATAAAAACTTTTTTTCCCCGGTAAATAAATGGAGAAAAGCATGTTTTTATTTTTATTTTTATGCATAGAAAAGGAATTTCTTCTATGCAGAAGTATAGATTTATTTGCTGCCACAGAATTAATATAGAAGTGTCGCATATAGTACATTATCTCTTATATATAATGTAGAAATGTTCTCATCATCTTGAGAGCACTCATTTTTTGCAAAAAAATGTCAAAGATTAGGTATGTCTTTGGTTTTCCTTTCTCAAGACACCCAATAGTAAATTAGGTAATTCCCTTTGCAATGCTAGAAGCTTAGACTTCAAGCATGATAAACCGAGTTCAAGCCTTGAGAGCAGTCACTTCACTTGAAAAAAATTCAAAGGTTAGTTCTCCAACGTGGGTGGGACATACACTGGGTAACCCTTTATCTCGATTCGATTAATATCTTAGATTTGCTGCCTCCTCCAGCTTTGATCAATCACATCTTAGGTCTGTAAAGTGAATAAGCTGCTTGTTGTCGAAGAAAAATAAAATATTTTTTGTGCCTTGTGAACATATAAATTCAACTCAACTCAAAGGTGAATCCAACCGCGTGGTATTTATTACGCAATTTCTAATTTGCTTTTCAACTTTATCTGGGAATATTTGTGAGATATAAATTTGTAATTGGCAATATTCGATGTCAAAACAAGTCCTAGTCGAGTTGTAATTTCAAGTTACCATATCAAGATCGACATCGACTGCGGAATTGGAAGGTTGTTCAGAAGAAGAAATACTGAGATCATCGAAAAGGAAAGAACAACACTTTTAGGAAATCGTTTCCCACTTAGGACACAATACCTACAAGGTATATTTTCTAAGTTATCAAAAATAGAATTTTCTAACATCTCATTGAATTCTGTCAAGTGGGAACCGGTATCACATTTGGGAACCGGTTCAAGAAGCTGTCCTTCGAAGAATTCTATTCTGTCCAATGGGAACCGGTTCCACATCTGGCTACTGGTACTACTGTTGTTTCAGCTTTAGGTAACTTTGTCCTGATCAGTTTTAAACTTCCTATTTGGTTTAGAATTATACCAAAAAGTCCTATGCACGAAATTTTTTTTATTTTCTGAAGGATTAGGTCTTTGAAAATTCTATATAAACCTTGATACACATCTAGGTTTATTCATGGCTTTTGCACTATCAATTCATTATTCTTAATAGCCTTAGGAATATTATTTTTGCAGAAATTCCAAGAGATTTCTCTGTCAGTCTTTCTAGAATACACACATAAACACATAGTAAGTTTAAGAGTGTTATTCAAAATCCCAATCGTGATCATACAGTTGCATCTACTACGATCAGAGAAAAGTATATCTACTTCTACGTCGAATTTAGATATTGAAGAACAGAAGTTAAAGCGATCACACTTTGAAAGGGTCATAGCATTCGAGGAGTGTTGTTTGATCTACCTGCTACTCAGCCTACTCTTCTACAAAGATCAAGCATAAGCCTGAGGTCAAGTTGCTATTGGACGGGACGTCGCAAAGCTAAAGGATTGTCAGCTATTGGTGTCTGGTAGAACGATAGGGTGTGAGCTAGAGTCAAAGTTCAGTGTACTTTGTTTTAAACATAGTGGATCGGTTTACTTTGTACTGCACAGTCCACAAGGTTTTTCCCGCACAAACAGTTGACGTATTTTATTAACTGGGGTTTCCTTGCTAAAAATCTTGGTGTCATTTCTAACTTTTTACTTTGCTTTATTTTATCTTGCATGAGATTAATTATTTAATTGCTAAAATAAGTAAAGTTGGAAAGACACAGGTCTGTTTCTAAAAATACAAAACTTTCTAAATTTTCCGCTGGGTACAATTCACAATATTTACTTGTTGAAGCATTGGTCATCTTATCTTTTCTCACAGCCTCAATGTAAGTTCCTTTGGCTCGCATGCTCTTAACTAGTTTTGAGTAAAACAATCACTTGATGCACTCTGAACTAGTGGATTTGGTCTTTCGTTGCACACGGCTCAAACTATTTTTGCTGTCTCTCTCTCTTACTATCATGAAGTAATATTTCCTTTAGCTTTTCACAAATGCTTGAGATCCATGGACTCTATTTTTCCCTTTCATGTTGTATCATTGAGATATCTTTTCTCCATTATTTTAACATAGTACTGCTCACAAATAATTTTGCATCCTAGGTTGTCATCAAGCAGCCAATCGGAATGTTACGGTATCCTGGGGTAGCAAAAGGGCTATATGTTGCTTCTTCCTCAGGTTTCTTTAATTTATCGTTACATATTATTTATTGTTTTTGACAATTACAATGACACTTTTTTAAATAAATGATTCTAATTACTTAGTCATGGTTCTGGATTTTTTCTCCATTAGTTGCACTGGCAATGTTATTATCAAGAAAATGGTGTTCAAATTTTCTGCTTCACTATTCTTCCCTTAACTTTTATTTTTTATTTTTTTATTTGTGTTCCAAGTAGGGAAACCAGCTTTGAGCACAGTTTATGTTCTTGAGAGAAAAGAACGAGAGAATTGCACACTGGTCCAGGTATTTCAGTTACTATGCGTATTTCTACCCATTTAATTTAGTTACTCTAGGATCTAATTGATCATGTTAACTGTTTTCATTAAGATAATATTTTGGTAACAATAACTATTCTTTCTTGCTGGAGATATAGGCGTGTGAAATATTAAAGGCTGTTTAGTTTTCCAGAAAAAACTCAGAGGGATGGACTATCACGACGACCATAGCAGTTAGAGTTGCCAACATGAACCTTAGATTGTCCACATATTAATACTCGTTCTTGTTACTTTGAACAAGCTATGGTGATAATTAGTACCACGTGTCATTGAGGCAATAAATGAGTTGAAATGGAACAGCAAAATATATGAGGGACTACAGAATATGTATCTTAATTAACTCTTCGTATTTATCAAAAACCATCTTATAAACAACCGGTAAGATTAATCTAGGGTCAGACAAGCACTTTTTCAATCTAATGATTGATCTCCTTGCAAAAACTAATAGTTGTGAGAGAGGTAATTAATACACTGCATCTTCCTTTTAGGTGTCTTGAATTTTCGACAGTTGAATATTATGTGTTGAATTGGAACCAAGCGAGTGCAGACAAATGTTAGAAAATTACTAACATATATGATGTACATTCCAATGTCTGGTTACCTGGTAGGTCTTGTGTCTAAGAAACCCTCTCTCCTGGTCCATTAGATTGGGTGACAATTCGTCAGTACTTCAAATCAGCTGCACCCTATTGTAATAATTCGTAGGAGGATCACATATCAAAAAAATAATTTGCAAGAAGGTCATATCATTTCATATTTCTAAAATAAATTACTGTTGAATGAATGGACTTTTTAAAGTCCTCAGGAACTCAACAGAATTGCATGGAGTCAATCTAAATCTATTCTTTTAGCCGTAGTAACATCCTTTGCTCAAGTAGATGATGAAATGGAGCACATGGGATAACACTTGTGTTACCAGAGTTGGCTTAACTTTAAATAGGATTGGGAATCACGAAATTTGAATGTGCATATTTGTGAACCATCTTTGAATTAGAAAATCATATCATTAGAATATTTAGACATTTGATTTATGGAAATTGGCTGTGATTGGAAACTACCGTAAACTGTAACCTAACTTTTTAATTTAGAAGAATTGGAAAATCTGTGCTTAGTAAATCTTACCTGGTAGATCATGTGTACTAATTAAATGTTAGATTAATTAAATGATTGAACCATTTGTTTCATGACATTTCTCTAAATGGTGGGGAACAATGATCTGTACTCGAGTTATTATTTCAATTAAAAAAAGATTGCCATCTATTTCCAAGCAGTCCTAAAAAGTGAATATTGTGTATGAAAAGCCTTGTGATTGGACAACTAGGGAAAAAAAAAAAAGAAAAAAAAAAAGCCTTATGATTGGATGACCTTTCTTAAATTTGATTTTATAATCTTTTAATGGTTAGGAGGCTTTTAAGAAAAAAGATAAGGGCTAAAAACGTGTTTTATACTATCCTATCACATTCAATTTTGACGCAAACAATAAATATTATGAAATAAATTCACATTGTTGTAAAGAATTTTACTGGAATTTTTTCGAAGTATAATTATTCTTATATTAAATTTTGAATAGAGCTTATCAATCTTATAATAAAAAATATTGGAGTTAATTGTCCTTTCACACTGATTAATATTTTCTTTTGTCCTTTGTCGCTCCATAGTTTTCGTTATACTCGTGAGGTTTTCTAGTTTCACTATTTTATAATAGAACTTCCCAATTTTATTGTTTTAAATACGACCTTATTTACCCTTATTTTTCTTACCTAACAGGTGGTCACTATATACCTGATATAACAATCGAAACCACATAAAAGCTGAACAATATAATTGTCTCTGATACATTTATTTTCTGATGTATTGAAGTATTAAGCTTGAAATTAGACATGATACTAGAATATGGTGTTCAGCCATTTTGAACTGCAATATTAGTCACTTCTAGAAGTCTTCTCATCAATGTAATTTTTAGCTACTTGAAACATTGGGAATTTATAGTTATATGTACATGGTAAACAGAAGCAAGAACACTACAAATCCAGACAATTATTGATCTTCAATTTTTTATTTATTTATTTTTAATGTAAAATGCTCAAAATATCATTGCTAAAATCTGCCATCTTATATACACATTCAGTTTGCCTTATTAAATCCAAATGTGCACACGCCCTTTGCACACCGGTGCACAAGAATACTTTTCAATACTTCAGTGCTAGCATATTAGTAATCTGTATATTAGCTTTCAGTGGATTGCAATCTGCTTCATGCTTTTTCTATTTATGTGTGAAATTTTACATATTCAAACTTTATCATTAAGGAATGGGACTTTTTTCCACATTGGTCAAAATTTGAAATTCTGATCAAAACTGGAATTCCAACCTGAATTTTAACCCATAAAAATCACCAATAGACAGTTTACCTGCATATTTAAGGCTGACTAGGTGAATATTTGGAAAATGGACACGAATTAAATTAGTGAATTATCCTTTTCATCTTATTTTTCCCCTCTGTTAATCTGTAATTTAATCTTTTTCTACTCCCTGATATCTTTAACAGGTTGAGATTCAGTCAGGACGGCCACACCAAATCCGTATTCATCTTTCTTTCATAGGGCATCCACTGATCGGTAAACTTTAAAGGGTTGAAATATTTTGGTATTTTTTGTTTGGTTGATGCAAATTTTATTTATGTGGGCCATTGTTTGGTCCAATGGTAAGAGCTTGAACCAACAAGTTTACAGAGATTAAAGTCACTTTGTGTAAGATAATGCCAAAATTAAGTTGTTCTCTAGTCTAGAAACAAATACTATTCTTGAGACATACATGTAGATTTACCTACATATTTCTTCTTGTATTTAATAACATGCTGTTTATATTTGTTGGAGGATATTATATTGGGAGAATATCATTATATGAGTGATTTAAGCCTTTAAGTCACTCATTGATAGAATATTGATACGAGCGAATCATGGGAGTGATTTTAGGAGTATTTCCTATATCATATTTATCGCATGTTTGTATTCTTTCACTTATAAATAGAGGTGATCATGTATACAAAGACTAAGACGAAATATTATAAAAGTGATGTAGCCTTTTAGGCTCTTTGTGCCGTGGATGTAGGCCTTAGTGGCTGAACCACACAATATCTTTGTATTCTTCTTGTTTCATTTCTCTCTTTACTTATATCTGAGCCTAGGGTAGTCGCCTGGTGCATGCGACAATGTTGGAGGATCTCTTCCTAGGTTCGGACCCCTATTTTGGGGTACTCCCTTATCATCTGAAATGTGCTAAGGGTTTCTTGGTGCTGTTTTTGTGACTTGTTTAGCTGCCGGTGTGTTTGGTAGCATTGTTCTTCGCCTTCGCCGTGTCTCCAGCAGTTTTATTGTCTTTTTCCAAATCTTTTGAATGGGTCTTATGTAGGAAACTCTAAGAATTTTAAATTTCAATTGACCCTATAAAATAAACTCTGAAAATTACTTATTTAAACAAATAAAGATGTGCCCGAGATATCAATAATAAATCAACCATAAACAATTTAAAGTGCAATAAAAGTAAAGTGATTAAGCAATTGCACACCAGATTTAATGTGGAAAAACTCTCCTTTTGGCAAGTCAAAAAACCATGGGACTTGGTCCGGTAAACCAATACCCTATGACGACACCGTCGAACACTTAGTTGATTACTAGACACAATAAGACACCAAATCTTCAGATCTCCAGGTTGTCCTTCTTATATGTCTACAATATTCAGTACACTCGAACACTGCCTCTTCACTGATTGATATTCAGCCCTAGTCATCCAAACTTGAGAATCTGGTTGATTGCTTTATACAGTATTGACTTGACTTTGTAGCGCAACAACAGTAGTATCAATACAAATGACCATCAAATCACCACAGCTAGAATGCATGATATATGATGAAAATTAAATAAAAGTTTACACTCTTCTTTTTCAAACTCACAATAAATCACACTTATGAATATTTATGTGATAAACATGACGTTCTGAACTTGTGGAAAAAGAAACAAATCAAAAGAGCTATATGAAAACTATGATTTCTTGTAAAACAAAAGCTATCACTAAAGATTTTTCTGTGTGCCTCTTAGGGTTTACAGATCTTAGTATTTATTGACATCCCTTTGGAAAAGAGTCCAAAATGTTTTTGGTAATAGAAACCTTGTAAATCATGTTTTTGGAAAATGCAACTTTCATGTCGGTCGATTGATGTCTGGGCAAGGGTAATCGATCAATAAAGCAAGGTGCTTCGATTGAACCCTACCTGACCAATTCTCGATCAATATTGAGCTAAGTGATTGATACATAACAGTATTAACATCGACAGATCAATTTTAAGCTTCGATCGATCTACAAACACCCACGATCGACTGATGAGTGAATATCAGTTAAAGATTGCTGCAAACTGAATTTTGAATTGAACATGAATATTTTGAAAAACGTTAAAAAATGCTCAAGTAAGTTTATAAAACTTTGAAACTTGATTAAATAAACATATAATGGTCCTAATATGGTTAAGATGATTATTGAGATGAATTTACCAGTACACCCTTTGTTTTGACAAAGTTGATGAATTAGACCGTTGTAGTAGCTTCTCTTTGTCCAAGCACTGACTATCATCTAACCATTTCTCTAGACAACTCACATTTACTGAACATAGTCTAAGGTTATATTGTATGAGTTTTGTACTACAACATTTGTCAACCTAGTTCTACGAACCTAACACCCTCTACGTTCTACTTTGAAAGGTGATAGAGTACCACTTATTGGTGGTAATTTTCAACTATTCAGAAAGGTAGAAGTATATAAACAAGTAACATTTTACAAACTAGGTTACCAGAATCTAACCCAAGAATCACCTAGTCCCTCCCAACTAATTTTTATGCGATCTTCCCAGATCCTTTAGCAGTTGATCCATCAACTGACTCGCTCCTCACACAATTTGCTTCTCCATGGACTTCTAATCTCCACGATTAGAGACGTCTGATCAACTTGTTCTTAACGAAGCACCCGATTGATGTTCTAATGGATATTTTCAGTTCTGTCACTTGATTTGATTCTCTTACATATAGTGTCGTAATCTATGAAGAACCCTAGATTGATTCTAAGATTTGTCTCTGAATACATATTCTCTCAATAATATGTAAGAGTTAAAGGCTTATGTGATTAGATACCCTAGAGTGAATATAATCCATGTTTATAGGAGACCCATATGGTATGGTAATTAAAATCCTTGTAGAAATCTGTTTTGAGAGAGTTTCCATAAAAGTGCCCGCACGGTCCAATCGATCAAACCTTCGATTGGACAAGCTTGCTTCAATCAAGGCATTCTGAATTTCATTTTTCAGCTTGGACTTCCCATCAATCGATTGACGCTATCAGGTCCTCTCTTGGTGGTCAAGCTATCAGTCAATGCTCTCTCTCTTGCAGAAAACACAGTTTTAAAATATGATGAAATCCTTTACTTCTGAAAAACTAACCTCGAGCCTCTCCAAGATCAAACTAGGTCATTTAAGGTCTTTCTAAGGATGCAGATTTCTTGCCGTGTTCTTCGTGAACCTTTGTTTGCATTGTCTTCAGTCCTTGCAGCTGCCGAGGACAGGGGAGAGATGAGTTCCACTTAAGTGCTTCCCCTTGTGAAACTTTGACATATTATAATTAGAGTTTTGAGTAGGACATTTTTATGTATCAATTTCTGAATGAATTACGAATACCTTTTGTCTAGGTGTTCTGGGTAATTTGCATGATTTTTCTAATTAGATGGTTGAAAATTTTGAACTTTGAAGAGCAAATTTTGCTCCAGTTATATATTAAGCACAGTTTGACAGTTTCGATATGCCACATCGCAGGTGATCCTCTCTATGTTAGTGGCGGGCAACCTAAATGCTCTGATCCTGAGCTTATAGATGAAAGTTTTGCACAAGACGGGTACAGAATTGTTGTTTGATATTTTGTTTTTCTTTTTTCTTTATTTCTGATTAGATATGTTTTATTTGCAATACACCAAAATTAGATTAAAGATTCAGCAAAAAACGGAAAAGAAAGAGCATACCTTTTTAGAAAGATAAGATGAATTTCAATAACCGATTGAAGGTGCGAAGACCTCTGAGTCTGAGAGGACTGGCCAATCTAGCCGACTACAGAATGCCTTCACAACCCTAAACGCTAGAAGAAGAAACAAATTAGCTTACTCAGTCACAAAGATAAAAGCAAAGTGAAACTAAACATTAATTGTGGGGACAACATTGATCTTGCTGGTAAGAGAGGTCTTGAGAGGGTTCCTTGGTGGTTGACAGATCCTCCATTCTTTCTTTCATTGAAGATTATCTCCAATACCTTTAAAAGAAAAATAGGGCAAAGGAAAGCATAGCCATAGAGATGCAAGTAGTGGTTAGTTATCTAATCAAGGTAAAGTAAGTAAGTGAACTTTGTATGGGTGTATTGGGAAAGCCTTTAAGTGTTTAGTTCTGATCCTTTGCATCAATTCTTCATGTTTCTTCTTTGGTTCCTCATTCTTACAGCTGATAAGGCTAGGAGAAGAAACAAAGGATTAATAAAGAGTTTGTTTCTTGTTTAGTAGACTGCTCCTCATAAGTTTTTTAATGGGCCTATCTCCATCTTGCTGAGTTAAAGTTCTTTTGAGCGGAAGGGTATTGATTTTGTAGCTATTAACTAGGTCAATTTATTTCTGGGTAAGATTTGATAATATTTTCCAGTTTGTATGTGCTGCAATTCAATTCTTTTTATTACCATCTAAAAGTGGAATTTTCAAGTTATTGTTGCGAATAAGACGTAAAACCCTTCATGCTATCAGAAGACATTTTTCGTCTTTTTGATTTTCTATGCTTATATTTTAATTCGGAATTTTTTAAGTTACTGTTGTGAAAAATGTAAAACCCTTCATGTGATCAGAACACATTTTGAGTTTTCTGGTTTTCTATGCTTATATTTTAAGTGACAGTTGAGATTCGTTCAATGTAAGGGTTTATAGCAGGTTTAAAAGTCTGTAAATTGGTGTGTGATCATATTTCTAAGTCAAAAAAAATCCACATAAAAATTTGTAACTTGAATTGTTTGGAGGGTGTGATTGGGTTCTTTCTTCTTCGACTATATTTGAATTTTGAACCAAACTACTGTTAGCTCCACAACCCTAATACAATCTACTCCCTATTCCCTAAAGCCTCTTCTGCCAATTCCTAATTACTTTTCACCCAATCAACAATTACCCCTAATGGTAACCGTTTTAATGATCTAATTTTCTTGGAAGACAAAGAAGTGCGATAAAGATGAGTCCCAGTATAAAAGATATAATATTCCATCAAATTCAATATTTAGGATTTGATTTGTTCTTTATTCGATAGGACCCCCCGAAAAGAAAACAGGAATTAAGAAGGAAAAACTTTTTCATTCCTTTGCTAAGAGTGGTGGGATCCTTGTTTGATCTTTATCTTCCCCCTTCTTAGATTAGTACGGGGAACATATATCAGAAGCTCAGTGTGCAATTTGATTGAAATAGATTTTTCAAATTCAAATTAGTAATTGAAGTTGCACAAAATTGAGATAATGGAAGCTGGAAAAGTATTCTTTAAAGTAGGGTGATTCAGGTAGAGTGGAGTTTTGAAAGATCCTGCACAAAACCTATTGCTCATCTCTAAATTCAAACTGTTAATTTGATTTATGTATGTCCTCGCCTAAACTCAAAATAATAGTATTAGATCAGCTTATTCAACTTAGGCACGGACTTCTCGGTCACTTGTCAGATCATTTTCAAAATAACTTACAGCTCAAGACACGTTATATCTGTACTAAAAAATAAAAATACATTATCTCACTTTGGTATTAAAGAAGGGAAAGGAAAAGAGAGTAAAATATCTACAGAATCTTTGCCAAATTTTATACCTCATTTTTTTCTTCAAGAGAGAACTGATACTTAAAAAGTTTTTATTTTATTTGCAGTGAAACCCTAATACCCTGTCGGTCTTTTGTTATGACTATCCTTCCATACTAGAAGGCATGTCATATCTTATGTCCTTATCATTCAGATATCTACTTTTTCCCACCTTATCCTTAGATATTGTCTGGGTTTACTTCTTAAATATTATTATCAAACTAGTAAAAAAGTATGGGGGCTTATATGATCTGTTTTGCCCAATAGTCATGATGCCACCTTTGGGTATTCAAATCTTGTTTTTTCTGGTTTCTTTACTTTGTTGTGAGATGCCTGCCGTGTAACTTTTAACCCAATGATAGTTTCTTCATATAAATTGACTGAACTCTGTTTTATGTTCTATTTAGAGGGTATCATAGACCCGTGAAACCTGTTCCTGGAGACTGTGGATACCACCTGCATGCTCATCAGTTGGTTTTTTCTCACCCAACCACGAATGAGGCAAGTACAACTGGCTTCAAATATTATTAGGTATCTATAAATTATTACTAATAACTTACAAGCTACCATTTTATCATATTTTTACTTGATTCCTGTTGATGTCCCTAAATTTCTTGAGTATCTCAGTAGATCTTGTACATTCTCAGACCTTTGTTTTTCTTATGTTAAAAAATTGCGTTTTGAACCTTCTGTAGAGTGTCTCTACAACAATCCTATTTCTGTTTTCTATTTGTGGGGCTGCATCTTGGTTCTTGGTGGGTTTAACCAACCCAACCCAACCCAACACACTCTATACCCAATTCTTGACAAACATAAACAAGGATCCTTGAATTTTGGGTTGGGCTTGGGCTAAAATGCCTCTGCCCGACCTTCACTCAGGTTAGATGGGTTGTCATTGTGGTTTCCTTTTTAACATTCCTCTCTTTTCGTCTTCTTAAACTTTTCATTCTATTAGAATGGAACTTCAGATCTACTTTTGCAAATCGATAGATTCCAGCTATCCATTTTATTGTTGGTAAGGTCTTAAGATGTACTTTATATATTACCGTCTTCGTTTTTCATTCTTTTTTACAAGATTTTTCATATTTGAGAGAAGATTTTCTATGTAATGAGTCTAACCCAGCAGTGACGGACCCATAAATTTTGTTGAGAGCGGGCGCCATTGAAGTTTTTTCATAGTTTCAGTGGGAGCATTTTCAAAAATTTTAAAAAATAATTGGTACATAATGCAAATAAAAAATATCAGTGGCTGCCCCCGATTGAATTCAATAGCGCCCAACCTGATTCAGGATGATGTCAACCATAGATGTGAAAATTGTCCTTGGATTGGACGTAGGTTGAACAGCTCCGGGCTGGAATATCAAGCTGGTTGGGCTTTGGCGGAGGTTTTTTCTACCTTTATTCTAGGTTGGCCTTCAACCTGAACCCAGTCCACCAAGTTGCATCCCCAAAGACCCCTAATCTAATAGCAGAATACAAGCACCTAGAATCAAAGACGTGCATCGAGGACCGGTACATAGATGTGGTAGTCGGGCATTTTCTATTACAATCTTTTGGAGCCTTTTTTTCGTCTACTATATTCGGACAAGTAATTATATTGATTTTATACAGTGGGTGTTGGTCTGAACTGAAATTTTCACGAATTTCTTTTTTAGATTATTAAAATCACTGCACCCCTCCCATCTTCTCTTCGAACAAAGGAAGAAGAGACTGAAGCAACCAGACTAGGTGTTGAGGATGATGTAAAGTAGTATCCGATGCTGATCAATGATTTCAGCAAGCAGCTGTGAAACTACTGAAACATTGTACAGCAAGTTGACTGGAGAAAAATGCAGTTGGTGCATTTAATAGCTCACCTTGCGGTCATCCCTTACTCAACCTGTGTATGATTCCATTTCAGTCTTTCTATGTCAAATTCGGAGTGACATCAAAACCAATGCATACATCACATGAGTGGTACACACTATATCCTTGATCTTACTATGTGTCGTTTTTGTTTTGCAATTATTAATGTAATTTCATATTTATCAAGTTTCTGTTAATTTTTTGGGAATTATATCATGTTAGATGCAAGAAAATAGAATCCTTGCACACACACGCACATGCATACTATTCTGAATCTATTAAAAAGGTAGAATCTTTTATCACTGGCATATTTCTTGGTGGCTTGATTTTCCGTCTTCTCTAGGGAAAAGAATTTCACATTCAACTAGAGAAGATATTTCTGCATGTTTATGTCCTGTTTAGCATTTCCCAAATACAAACCTTCTTTACTATAAAGGAAATTGTCAGCAAAAGTTGCCCTCCATATAGACTGCTTATAAATATGGTTTCTACTTTCAACAGGGAATGATGCAGATAGTTTAGATATCTAATGCCTAATGATTTAGAAATTAATTGGAATCTCTCTATTTTATTTATTTATTATTATTATTATTATTATTATTATTATTATGTTTTTAGAAAAGAAAGAATCAATTGATGTGGTAGCCGAGCATCTCATGTGTGGTCTCACTGGCTCCGTGGGTTGTTTTGGTGTATGAGGTGAGTCTCTGGAAGACTAGTAGTGGTTGCTTCTACACTTCTCTTGAATTCCTCTTGTGGAGCAAGGTTGGAAGTGACAAAAAAAAGTTCTTTTGCTTTCCGTTAATCCTAGTAACGAAACAGATAAATAATTTGCTCGAGTGTCAAAAAATCCCACCATTGGCTAGTCGTAGTAATGGTATCGTAGTTGCATTACGCAACCATGCCATCACTCACGCTGCAGCATTCTTCTTAATTGTCTCATCATCTCGCCTTTGTTCAACCTTGGTGTTTCGTTGTCTTGGTTTAAGTTGCCCTTGCTAACTTTGTAATCTCTTCTAAATCTAGCAGATTTTAGTATTAGATAGATAGGGCATTCATCCTCTTCAGAATCATCTCACCGTCGGTCTCTCGTTGTCGATCAACAATCTCCTACTTACTTTGGAATCTCTTCCAGATTCTTCGTAATTTAGCATTATGGTAGGGTTTCTAGTGAGGGAGAGGTGGGATTTCTAGTGACACAGTAGTAGAAAGAGAACTGATTCTTTGATAATTGATATTAGGGTTACAAGGGTGAAACAATAATTTTGTAATTCTTTTATTATTTCAGCATTGGCATAAGCAATTTTGTTTATTAAACAGATGACAATATAAAGAAGCACATTAACTAGGCTACCAGCTAAATCTAACAGGGGGTGTTAAAGTGATTTTAAACAAAACCTCTAGATAGGTCGAGATAATTTATCCTAAATAATAAGGAAGTATGAAAGGTTGTAGAGAGAGATTGCATGTTGAAGCCGAACTAGAACATTAACCGTTAGTAAATTGGAGAAGATTTTAGAATAATAGAGAATTTGTAAATGTGTATACATTTAAGTGGAGAGTTCTAGATTCTAAATCTTAACCAGTAATTGCAATTCATGTATCTATATTGAGTATAGGTCACAACTATAACAAGAAGCTTGTGAAAAGTCTAGGAATGAGGGAGTGTAACACGCTGTTTATGTAACCAAATAGGAAGAGGAGTACAGTGATTTTGATGTCTTTGTGTATAACACATCTGTTTTAGGTGTTTATTACATATATGTGTCCAAGCCCAAATAACAGAACCATTACCCCTCAGGCGAATGTGAGTAAAATGGATCAAGCTCCAAGGAGGGTGGAAGTAATTTGTCTCATCAAAAGCTCTATCTCAGTCTCAATGGCTGGGTTTGTACGGAATTGTACGGAATACTAATACGATAGTCATTTTTTCAATAAATTTTTACTAAATAATACAATAGTCCTTTTTTGAATTATACATAAATGCCAAACATTTTTAGGAGTGAAACTTTTTTGTAAAAAAAAATGGGGTTCACAATTAGGAAAAACAAACAAAAAAAAATTGGACTAGACTTGCAAAGCCCAAGACGGAAACTAACCATTGGGAAAATTAGAAACCCAACCTAGAAATTTTTGTTGTGAATGACAGAGGTAGATTACATTTACATGAAAATGAAGGGAAATTATTTATTTATTTTTTCCTGAATGAATGCAAGGAAATCATCAAGCTTTCAGAATCGTTAAAAATAAGTGAAATTATTTTAATTTATAATTTTAAAACAAAAAGAAGATTAATTTAATAACTTATTTAATCAAGGGTCTTTCTAAATTTGAATCAAAGAATCTTTTGCCATCTTTAATCCCAGTTATATATATATATATATATATATATATATATATATATATATATATCTATCTACGTACGTGTGTTTTTTTGTATGTGGGTTTGATGAATGTAAGGTGTGTGTGGCGTGTGAAAAACAGAAAACGAAATAGTGATGACTTGGCGTACAGGTGAGAGGAAAAAGAAAGTGTAATAGAGTGGTTGATCAAAATATTCGGATTTTTAGAAAGAAAAAAAAGAAAAAAGAAAAAAAACAAACAAACAAACAAAACAAAAACAATGCTTATTTTATCCAGACTAGAGCGATTGTGATCTGACATTAATTGCAGATTCCTATAAGGAAAAGAAGTGAACCAGATGTAAAGTCTGTAGGGGACGGTTAAGGAAGTGATGACTGTAGTCCATTAGCCCAAGCTAGGCTTGCTTGGGCTACTTTTGTTCTTTAGCCCAATACATACCCTGGTTTTTTTTTGCATTGACTCTATTACTGTTAAGTGTTAGCCTATGTGGAGAAGGTATTGGGTGCACCGTCAATTCATCATGCCAAGTTATTGATATACCTACTAATAAAAGTTCACCATAGGGTCCCATCATTTGAAAAGATATGCTCAAAACTACCCTTCAAAAACTGATTGATTTGTTATATTTTCTTTGGCCGGGAATATTAATGATATGGTATGCCGGCTCACTCTATAGTCTATACTACATAGGGGTTCTTTTATTTATTTTATTTATTATTTTTTAAACTTTGGGTAAGTTAAAACTATTGTAAAAGGAAAATAAAATACAATATCCATGGGAATACACCTGTAAATTTTACAATCCAAAGAAACTATTTGGGCCAAGCTGAAGTACAGAGGACAAAATGTTGAAAATAATCCATCTACTATTCCAGCCCACATTCAAAAGGCAAAACTTGTCAAACAACCCAAGCGGGGGCCCAAAACAATAACTGAAAGGCGAAACCATCAACGAGATAGAGCGCCAACTACATCCATCCATCCATCCATATTTGCAGACTTAATGCCGTCTTTGGTACGGAAGAAAAAAATTAGATGAAAGGAAGAGAAAAAGGAATATATGAGATATTTTTAGGGAAAAAAAATGTGGATTTCTTTCTTTTTGTTCAATTGGATAAAAGAAAAGATAAGAGAATAAACTTAAAATTTCCTATGTTAGTTGAGAGAGAAGGAAAGAGAAAATTTTAATTATTTTTACCATTATATCCAATAATATTTATAATATTGTAATTTATAGAGGATAGTATTGTAATTTAAAATTTGTATAATTTATGATAGTACTATCTTTGTCTTCCCTCCTTTCTTCCGCCCATTTTTGGGTGGATGAAAATTTATAAGGAGAAAGGATGGGAATTTGTATTATTTATGATAGTACTATACTTGTCTTCCCTCTTTTCTTCCGCCCTTTTTGGGTGAATGAAAATTTGTGAATGACCTATTTTTCTTTCTTTCCTTGTATCATCTCCACTGAACAAAGGAAATTTGTTCCTTCCTTCCTATTTTCTCTCCACACATCTTCCTTCCTACCGAACACAGCATAAATGCATGATGTATAGGGTTCAAAGGAGTAGAAAAGGTTAGTGTTTGAGGGTTCAAAGAAAGATGGAGGGGAGTTCCAACTCTCGACAATTTATTTAGCGATGGCGCCAAACAGAGAAGAGTCTATTGCTAATGTAAATGAGATTGTGAATTACATTGACCTCTCTTGAAGTTTAAACAAATTATACACAAATAAATTGTTCAACGTTGATTATTTTAACCTTTCTTGAAATTCGACACCTGTAATCATTGGGATGTGTTGATCCAAATTTTATAAAATGACAATTTTTACATTTCCTTGTATAAAACTCTTACTCTTCAATTGTGTTAAAATAGGGGCAGTATTAATTTTTCATAGTCAAAGTCATCATTTATGAGGAATAGATTTGGAGGATGTTAAAGTAATATATCCATGGTGACTGAACTGTCAGTGTAATTTGACCAAATATTTGAGTCGTTGAGCGTAAATTAGTCAAATATTCACAATAAGTTGGGTATGGGCCTATGGCCGGTTGTCTAACATTCAAGCAAAACTTGTTCCACTCTCACCTAAAGTAGTGACTTGTCAACTGGAGGTTTAACAACCGTTCGAAAAAAAACAAAAAAAAAAAAAAAAAAAAAAAAAAAAAAACTGGAGGTTTAACAAAGAACTTGTTGCTAATTCAGGTTGCATTTAAATTGGATCAGCTTTAACCCAACTAAGTAATTACACACGTCATCGCACAATAATAACAATTTTGAAAACAGTTTTATTATTATTATTATTATTATTATTATTATTTTTTTAAGAATAGAAATTTAAAAAATTGAATAAAAAATTTAGGGATAATCACGGGAAATAGTTGAAAATTAAATCTAACTTATCCGTCACTTTAAGGATTAGATTGAATTGAATTAAGCCAATTCACGGATCGGATTTACCTGTTTCTAAATAGTCCAATATTGTTTATTTTAAGAGTTGAGATTTAGTTGGTGTTTAGGGTTAAAAATTAGTAAAACTTAAAATAATAAAAGAATAAAGAAAATAAAAATAATGTAAATATATATTTTATATATATATTTGACCGGATTGGATTGGTTAATAGGATCATTATTGTAAGAGTCAAATTTTTGGGTTACAGATTTTTTATTTATCAAACTGTACCCAAATTATGTGACTAAAAAATCGGTCCAATTCGTATAGTGATCTAATCGATTTCACATATTGACAAATCAAATAAACACCCCTAACTGACAGTTTCTAAAAATTATTTATTAAAAATGTACTACCTTAGGAAAACAGTTTTCTCTTTTTTTTGAAAAACTCTTTTTTTTAAAAAAAAAAAAAAAAAAACAACTGAACCAAAAAAATTCCAAGTTTTGAAAGTCAATAGCGCGTGCAAGTGTAGCGCGTGAGTCTATAATTGCCTCCCTATTAAAGTACTGACGCACGATGTACACGTTGGTCACAGCTGCCAAAAGCCGACTCTCTCTCTCTCTTCTTTCTCTCTCTTCGTTGCCAAATTGTTCTTGTTCAACCGAACCAGCACACGCTGTTCCAAGGTCAAAATAGGCGTGTGGTAAGCACGGCGTCGTTTACTCTCCCTCTTCTCTCTTCAACCTCCATTGTTTTCATCATTTTTACCTACTCTCTCTGATTCCTTCTCTTGTCCTTTTTCTCTCTCTAAGATCCCTTGATTTTGGTTTCGGTATTCGCCCTTCTGACCTGAGAAGAACCCTCCGGCAGCATTTAAAGGTAATTACATCTTCCCACTTTGATAAACGTATGCTATACATGTTTGATGGGTTTTGATTGGATTGATATATTGATTTGCTTCTGATTTGGGTTCTTAATCAATGTTTGATTATGGTTTTTGAGTTTCAAACGACAATGGTGTGGAATAGTTGTAATCTTTGATATTGTATGGATTGTATAACTCTTTTTAAGTTTTGAATTATGTAGCTGAGGTTTTTGGTTCAAGTCATTACCTGGGCAAGTCCATTTCACTGATAATTCAGTTCTATATTGTAGATTTATATATGTATTTATGTATGTATGTGTGTATAATGTTATGATAAACTGGGGTTCAAGTTCACTGATCTGGATGGCTTAGAATTTTCGAAAATTATCAATTTCCAAAAGTCAATTGGTTTGAGTTTTTTCTTCTGAACAATTCTTTGTTCTGAATAGTTTAATCGTTAGGTGATGATTCTGGAAGCTTGAGGTTTTATCAGCCCAAGTGTTGGGAAACAGCTGTTGGTTTTGGTGGTCGTTTATCTAATTTGATTTTGTTTCCTCACATATCAAGACAAAGTTGAATTCTGCAGGCGTCCGGATAGATTGTTCGTCTCATAAACTGCATAAATTGTGTTTATTATTTATTTTAGATTTGTGGCTATTCAAGTAGAATTCTTTCTCAGTACCAATAATGTCTGATTAGGTCTTGAATATATTTGCCTCTCCCCAGTTTTGCAATCTTTATCCTGTGGTTTTTTTTATTTTTTTTTTATATTTTTATTTTTTATATAAGGGATCATAGCTCTATTCAGTGACATATCAGAGCCTAGAATTATGAGGGTTTTAGTAGTCATGTTGTACCTGCACAAACACATGTAATTCTTTTAAATGCCCGAAATTGTTATATTCCGTTTGGTGCTTGTTTTCCACAAGTTCTAGCCTTTGATTTGGATTTCCAAAACATACATGGAATCTTCCCCTTTCCTTTGCCAAAGTTCAAAAGCTGTTGACTGACTCATGTCTGGCTTTGCTAGATCTAGAATTAAGTGAGGACGCATTATATGGACCTTACATATTTCAGACTACAGGGCATGTTATTTTTTATGCTAGATCATGGCTAGTCATTATATATGAGTTCATCTATTTACTATTATTGTTGGATTTTCAGCCTTTTAGGTCTTAGCTGTAGCGTTGCATTGCTGTTTTTTATCTACTTTTTTTATGTTCTATTTAATTATTTCATGTTGTAATGGCAGCCTGATTGTCAAAATTTTTAATTTTTGGGTTCATCATTGGCCATTTATCTCATTTGTCGCATTGTGTGGTGTAGATAGTTTTCTTACACTTGTTTTCTCTTTCTGCAGGCGATCCCCACTATTAAGGAATGAATATTTTCTTCAGGAACGCTACTGAGGAGTCTCTTCCTTCTCATCACGACTTTATTAGTTGTCCATTTTTGCGTAACATTAATGAGCCCACCAATTTCTCATTCTCATCATCCATGGCTTTCCCAATGCCTGTAAGTTTCATATTATATTGCTGATTTAAAACTTGCTTATGAGTTTAATGTACCATGTTTTTGTGATTTTTCCTATACATACATACATACATACATACATACATATATATATATATGTATATATAGCAAAAAATAAAATAATAATAATAAAAAAAAACCTTCTTGGGGTCTTCACAGCATGTAATCTCTGAGGAATAAAATTTCCATTATAAATTGTTTTAAGCAATGTTAGACCCAAAATAGTTTACTAAGACACAGAGCTAGTCTCTTCGATTTGCAGAACCCACAAAGTTTGTTTACACGATTCTGATCTCCCGCTTGTTGGCCTAAAGTCATGTTGCATCTAACATGATGTGTTTACCCTGTAAAGTGTTCTTATCATTGTTTTATCATTTTGTGCTCAGGTACGTGGAACCAAAGGTCCAATTTTTGAGGATGGTCCCAATTTTGAAATGACATTCAGGCTTTTCCATGGGCAAAATGGTGTTGTCCCACTTTCTGGAAAATCATTCTCACATTCTGACGAGTCTGAGTCTGAGTCGGCTCCTCCACACTTTAATCCTTTAGCAGCAAAGGCAGCCACCATCAGCCTCTCAGGATTTGGATCTGGAGGGCTGTTTGGCTTCGATGCATTTTTTGGGAAGAGGAACAATCAAAACAAAAAATCCAAATCATCCAAGAAGGAACCTTCTTCACAGGTACATGACTATTAATTTTGAAGTTAGATGTTCCTCATTAATTATGTGGTAGAAGTACAAATCCAGGTTCTAAGACCATAGATTATGGTTAATGTCATTCCTGCTGTACAATGATACGGACTTCTGAAAATTTTATTATAAACTTAATAAAAATTCTAAGAATTCATAGGAATATGAAATAGTCTACATTCTTTTAATATTGGAGGTTTTGAAACTGGCCACGGTTGAAATGAATCAATAATCAATTTTTTATTATTTTTTCCATTTCTTGACATATATAAATGTTGATCTGTCAGGGCGGTGACTCAAAGCACGAGGCACTGAGCAATGAATGGTTGGAAACTGGGAACTGCCCAATTGCCAAGTCATACAGGGCGGTAAGTCATGTCCTGCCACTTGTGGCGAAGGCTCTTCAGCCCCCTTCTGGTATGAAATATAAGTGCCCCCAAGCGATCGTTGCAGCTAGAGCAGCCATAGCACGAACTGCCTTTGCAAAGAATCTCCGACCACAACCCCTCCCGGCAAAGATTCTTGCGATTGGAGGATTGGGTATGGCAGCAAATATCCCTTTAGGAATATGGAGAGAACACACAAAGAAATTCTCACCTTCATGGTTTGCAGCTGTCCACGCAGCTATTCCATTCATAGGCATGCTGAGGAAGTCTGTGTTGATGCCTAAGACAGCTATGGCATTCACCATTGCAGCATCCATTTTGGGACAAGTCATTGGCTCCAGAGCAGAGCGCATCCGGCTGAAATCAGTTGCTGCAAGAAGATTGGCTCTCACTAAAACTTCTACTAACGGGTCCAGTCAATTACAAGTTACCGGACTTAATGGTGGACGTTGCAGTGAGATTGTTGAGTGGAGCACAGTTCCTATACAGGTTGCCGTGCCATCTTCATCAGCTGATGTTTTTTGCTGATAATTTTTTGTGCAATTGATCTTGTACTACTTTGTGTTCGGCAAAGTACACACTTGTATGTTTATTTGTTTGTTTTTGTCGTTGTGTATTCCTTTTATTTTCCTTTGTACCTTGAAATACCTGAGATCAACAATTGTCGGAATAAAAATTGGAAGGATGAGAATATTATTTTAAAGGTTGTTTTGCATTTGATTTGACGAGGGTTACAACAAAATGACGGGCATGAGCGTAAACATGGGCCATGGGTTGTTCATGGATATGATATGGATGAAGAACTTTGTTTGAGAACCGCATTTATCAGTGTTGGCCTTTGCACACAACCACCTTCCACAGACTACCTTCCAAAATGTTTTTATTTATATTTTTCGCTATTTATATTTTTCGCAAACTAGGGAGAGGGGAAACTTGAACAAAGGCACACTTTCCCGGACGCTCTACCAATTAGGCCACAGGTAATGTCCACATTTATTGTGTATCCAAATTCCTAAAGCTACAATTCTAGTGATTCATCTTGTTCGAATAGGGGGTTATGTGATTCAGTGATTCTCAGAGCAGGGTGTGCGTCTGTAGATAACAGTTGATGGTAGAGTTGTGAAGGATCCCAATACAATTCTCAGGTTTTTAATGCATACCATCTGTTTGTATTATGTCATTTTTGTGACCTAGTTAACATTTTGAGATGTTTTGCTTGACAAAATGATTTTTTAGAGCTGGTTCGGAGGTAGTCTATCACCGACTTCCATGGAAAGAACCTGATGCACCGTAAATGCTGAAAGTTCTATTTGAAGATGATGATTTGGTATATGACTTGAAATGGTGTTTCTTCACTTTCTGCATCATAATATGGTAATTGCATGGTTTTTTTTCCCATAACCGGGGTGTTCGGGGTTTTGCCTGGGACTCGTGCAAAGCTACCCCTCCACATGAATAGGACAAAATTGGGACTATGTATCGAACTTGAGACTTGCTGCTTCATGAGGTTCTTAGGCTCAAGTTTTTTCCAATGGTAATTGTGCGTTTCCATTGATGTAGGTAATGTTAGGCGCATTTTTTGGACTTGGATTATACTTGACTGCATAATGTGTGTTAATATGATTAACGTAATAAAGTTGTGAAGTTTTAAATTAACAAGTTGTATATCATATATTATATTGTTTAACCTTATGAAATATTGACAAAATTAATAAATTTATTCTCACAACTTGCATCAACTTCAATCAAGCTCGTACTTTATAATAAAAAAAGGGAGAACTGTACAAAATGGGCCAACCCTAAGGCAACCCTGCCCGCGCAAGAGCACCAAGAAGTTGCATCTACAACTGTAAAAACAGTTGGTATGTGCAACCACAAAGACTATCTATCTAATTAGAGAAGAACAGAGCCTGGAAGGCTCCAAGCTGCTGCAATGGTTCTAGAGGCCTTGATGTCCTTAATCTTGCAAGAAAGAAGATTAAGGGTTGCGAACGTCATCAGCCCAAGCTTGCATGTTAGTTGCGTTCCTTCTGTTTCTTTCCCTCCACAGAAAGTAAATGCAAGTTGGAAACACAATTTGAAAACAAATTAAGGCACTGGGGTGCTGCCATTCTTGTCCTTGCTACTGGAATTCACAAGTACCCCATTAAGTTTCCGGCCACCACTAAACAAAATGTTGTACTATTGCTTCTGATTTTACCTTATATGCATATCTTATACTCTCAACTACGATAAACATGTCTTTAATTTTATAATAAAGAAACCCTAGCACTATTTAGCTCTATTTAGGGTCACAGTCCCATATTACTATATCATTTCTTACTAACTCTACCAAATTAACTTTGGTATTCTATCTTCTCCCACTACAAGAAATTTGGTTTTTAGTGAGAGTCAAACCTAAAAGCCCTAAAACCATTCCTAATAGTCACAAGATTTTTAGAGACGGTAAAAATCGTCTGTCCCTAAAAAAATCAACCTTTAGGGACGGACTTATGGTCCCAAATAGGACCGTCCCCCTTTGATTTATTAGGGACAGTATTTACGGTCCCTAATAGGTGATATATTAGAGACGGCTTTGTTGTCGGTCGCTAATACAATACTTATTAGGCACAATTTGTACCGTCCCTAATAGGATTTTTTTAATTGTTATTATTAAATTGTGACGGTTATAAACTTTCCCTAATACTTGATTATTATTATTATTTTATTTTATTTTATTGTATTTATTTATTTATTTGCTCCGCTGGATTTGTGTTCTTGAAAAGCTATTAAACCACATCCACCTTATATATCAAAACATCATAACTAAAAAGTACGTACATCCACTATATCATTCTAAAAATAAAAAAATAGAGTATCACCACAATACGGTGCCAACAAACGAGCTCTTAATCTCATGATACTACAAATTCTCCAATTTTTGTAAACAAGAACTAAAAGTATCTACTAGTTACTTTAACATCAAATGGCTCCAAACATCCTCAAAAAGTACCTATTAGTTGTTGCTGCTCAAGTAGCTTCTAAATTGCATCCAACTTCTCCTCCAAATTTGTAACTTTCACTATAAGTTGTGCATTTTTTTCTTCTAACATTTTCCACCCTGTTTCTAGAATCCTCTTCATAAGATGAGGATGCACGTTGATGGCTTGGAACTACAAAACTATTTCTGAACCCACGACGATATCCCTTTCTGATACCTAATTGGTTTTCCACTATCTCAAACATTATTTATGATAAGAGTGGACCATCAGAATTGTGAGAAACTTGTGAAAACTTCTCTTTCATTTCATCCAGAAATTAAGATTAATGTTGTCACACCCCAAAATTTAATACAAGAACTACTTGTCCTGCATAAAAAATCTAAGGTATAACTTCCATCAATTCTCAACATACATCCTCCATAATAGAACTACAATGAATCCTGTCATTCAATTTAACAAACATGAGAGTCTGACAAATTTTATACAAATTCATAAATAGAGGTGCAATTCCCTCTAGTAAAACAAAGCATCTATGACCACTGAATCAACTCAATAAAGTTTCATAAAACATTAACTTTATTACAATAATCAGAATAAAGGAAAACCGAGCTAAAATAAATCAATGCGCAACGAGCTAAAATCCGTTCCCATCATGTAATCCCATCACGTTCCTACTCAACGTGTACCTGAAATGTGATAATGGGGTGAGCTCACAAGCTCAGTAATAAATGCTAAACACAATCATCGTTCAGCAAATTAACCTTACCTTATATTCCTGTATATATAAGCAACTCAAATAAGTTCATTATTCAAATGTGTATAATCCAGTTAATTATAAACTTAATAAATAACCATCTTTTATTTTTTAATAAATCGGCATATCTCACATGAGCCCCGGGCTCCCGTCCAATAAAATGGTGTGAATCGTATAGTCCCTGACTACCAAAAACACACGTGTGGCTGGATTGTACGTCTACTCCCCAGATAATCCCTGATCACGTCCACACAATAATGGCTCATTAGACCCATGGCCATAACAAAAGGATAGTGCACTCCCAAATAGGTAGGTCCCTGACCATACTCAAAAGTCATCATAGAGTCAGTCCCTGACTGCCCTCCGACTAATCCAAACTCATCATTATTATTTATGGTGAATTATGAAATACATTATTAATTAATAATTTAAAATCAATAAGTAATACATCCAAACACGCTTTTAATTTAAAAACAGAACCCTATAGACCCAACTAGTGAGAGTACAAAATTCTGGACATAGCCTAATATTAGATATGACTCCCTACAAAATTTCAGAAGCTAAGTCTTAATAATATTTCCGTACTCTCCATCTTAGTGCTGAAAATAATACTTTTTCGGGTTTTAATTTCGTAAAACTACCAAAATGTCATTTAAAAATCTGGATTTTAGCAAAACTAAGTCCATTATACTTAAAACTAATATTCTGGAATTTCAATAATTTTTTTTTGAATACTAAAAAAAAATACTCTTCTATATTTGTTTTTCAAAATTTAAAATAATTAAATATATTATTCATTTCGGTTGAACCCGGGTATTGCCCCCAACGGATTAGGCTCGGCGAGTAGATTCCAGTGATAACTTTCAATAGTCAAACTGATGTCTCACGGCAACACACTCTCCCTCACTCTCCATTGCCAAGAATGTGCTTCGTAGAGAAGAACCCAAAGTGGGTCTTCACCACCATAATGCATTTGCTTTTCTATCTGTTTTTCTTTTCCAACCAATATCTAACGGTTCTACCTTCTATTGACCCCAAAGTCTACTTTTAAGCTTTCCGTAGTCAATAAAGCTTAAGTTTGAAACATCAAATTGAATGCAAGACTTACAACAATAAATTATTTCAATTATTAAAATATTCCACGCTGAACTTTGATTTCTAACTCTCCGTAAATCAAACAATTCGTATAAGTATATTGATATATAATAACACCAAATCAGTTTCCATATATATATACACATATATATCAAATCAGTCTATTAATCAAGCTTAACATGCATATAGCAAGTATAAAAACATGTGAATTACTTTACTTCAATATCTACACACACACGCGCGCATCAAGTAAATGTCCTCCATTTAAACTTATATTCAGTGCTATTAGAACATGTGATAAAGTTTCATGCCATTCTATGCCTAATTTACATCAGATCGATATACCCCAATTCATAAAAGCATGTTATATTAATTCTTGATTAATCGTAATTAGGCAGAGTTTCGTATATATACAAGTATATAAAGCAAGATTAACTTGCCTGTTAAATATCGTAAAACCTCTCTCTAGCCGATCCTTTGGTCATCGTCTCTTTTTCCGGCTATTGCAGATTGCCAACGAAAAATCAGTAACCCGCTTCCTCTCTTTCTCTCTCGGTAATTTCTTTCTTCTTTTTTTTTTTTTTTTTATGAAAAATAATATCCTCGTACTGATACGATGTAAAATATAAAGGATAAATATAATTGCATTCGAGATAACCTAGGACTCTTATTTAAAGTTTTAAATTTTAAAGGAAAAACTCTATTAAATACTAAATAATAAAAAAAATAATGTACGAAATTTTAGGGTTTTACAAATGTAGTGTTAACATTAGTAGTTCAATAAAAAATTGACTATAAACTAAGTTAAGATGAATTTATTTTATTTTATTTTATTTTACTGGACATCTTAATTGACAATCCAAAAGTAAATAG